TATTTGGAAGATGCATTATAAAAACAATCTGTACTGCGAACAGAGTTTCCTAAATATTCATCATTTGAACTAACCCAAGAAAGACATTATGAACAGAGAAATTATCCATTACGAAATAAATTTCTTTATTTTTCAGTATTTAATATTACCACTTCTTCTTTTTCTTCTTCTTTTGGCATCATAACCCTGGATGGGTCTTTGCCTGTCTGGCTATGTCCTTCCATTCAGATCTCTCTTGTGCCCTTCTTCTCCATTGTCTTATGTTCATTGTTTTCATTGACGTCTTCCACGTCATCCAACCATCTCGTTCTGGGCCTTCCTTTTTTCGCCTTCCTATGGGCTTCCATTATAACATTTTCTTTGTTGTTTTTGCATCGTTTTGTCTCTGCACATGTCCCAGTTATGACAGTCTTTGATTTTTCACAAAAATTACAATGTCATAACCTTCATTTAATTCATTAACTTCGTCGTTTCTCCTGATTCTCCATGTACCGGACCATATACTTTCCTCAGTATTTTTCTCTCGAATGTCCTGAGTTATGCTTCATCTTTTTCGTCATTAATATTACCACTCCTTCTCCTAATTACACTTTCCAATCGATTTCGTATGGATCGGATGACTTTTCTTATAAATTCTTGAGACATTGCTTCCCATTCATCATTAAGCGCAAATCTCAATTCCATTATATTCCTTGGTGCATGATTTTTGTCAAGGACCCTTCGTTTAAGCTCATTCCAAACATGCTCTATTAGATTTATATCCGGGATCAACGCAGGCCAATTTATTATTGGTTGACCGGTATTGATCGATCTCAATCAGATAGGTGGTGATTATACGTGCGGTATGGCTTTGTGCATTATCGTGCATTAAAATGGAAGAAGCATTACCAAATAATCCCGCATGTGGAACCACACGTTCCTCCAAAATGTCTCTGATGTAACAATTTGTCGTTAAACCTACTCCACGTCCTCCACCAGGCACTGAAACACATGGTTTTTCCATCCATGGAAATACCTGTCCAAAACATACAAGAATCGCTTCCATTTGACACAATTTCTCGTATGTAACTGAGCAAATTACTCTCCTGACCTTCTAGAGACTCGATGTTTCTCGTCGTTGCCATGTAGGTAGATCCTACTTTCATTGGAGAATAATACCTGATCTCATTGAAAGTCATCCCAATCCAGATGTTCGCTAGCAAATTCTAATCGCTTTTGCTTCTGAGCTTGGGACACGTAGGTGTCCTTTTTAGTGTCAGGTTGGCTGCCTTCAGTCTCATTATGACTGTAGAAATGCTAGTAACTACACCTCGGACCTCTCTAAGCTCTTCTTTGGGATTAGCACCAGTCAAATGTCGATTTCTCAGGGATTTCAATATTAGAAATCGATCATCGATCAATACTTGGGCCTGTGAAATTGCCTGCTCGTTTAAATGATGCTGATTACCTACATTTCCTGCAAAATGTTTTACCTCATTCATTAGATGATGTGCCTTTAAATATTCGGCAAAACTTATTGTTTATACATGACGGCTGTCCAGCCCACTTTAGCATCAATGTACGAGACTTTCTTTATAATAACTACGAACTACGAAGAGCACTGGATTTGAAGAGGCAGTCCAGTTGCTTGGCCAGCAAGGTCGCCGGATTTAAATCCTTGCGATTATTGTATTTGGGGATACACAAAAGCATTTGTTTATTCCGTTCCGATACAAAATCTTGCACAACTCTAGACAGAGGATACAACATGCTTGCAACGAATATCGAAATACCTTTGGAATATTTGCAAAAATTTGGCGCTCTGTAAGCAAAAGGGCAAATTTATGCCAAAAAACTAATGGTCATCACATCTAGCATCTTTTGTAACTATCTACTTTTAATACTTGTTCTTTTGTATTAGTTTCCTTCCATTGTAATAAATATTTTGCTTTTAAACCCGTTTAAATTTAAATTTATATTTAAACTTTCTTTGATCAATTTGATTTTTTGCTTCTTTTCCTATAATTTTTTACGAATTGTGTGCTGCATTTATTGAAACAAAAGATAATTATAAAATTAATTACAGTACCTATTAGTTTAACTTTCATGACGAGAAAACGAGAAATCTAATCGATTTTTCTAGAAATGGTGTATTATACCAACTTAAAGTAACAGCACCTTTTAGTACTATAATACCTGAAAATTTAATAATTTAATATAACTGACACCAATGACCGGTACTAGAAATTCGGAATTGATGGAATCGATTCAACTCTAGATGATAAATAAAGGTCGATTCAGACACATCAGTCCCGTCACAGTCTCGGCGCTGAACCGGTCCTGTTTGGTCACAGAACTATCAACTATCTGACAGCTGGCAAACTGTTCGTCATCTGATGAATGTGAATGCCGAAGCCATATTTCTATAAAAGAATATTTTGTATGACGGATTGTTCGGTTCGGCGCCAGGACTGTGACGAGACGTGACTGATGTGTCTGAATCGACCTTAATCGTACCAGTTTTCATTTTTCTAACTAGAAACGTTCTGACGGTATTAAAAAACACGAATTACAAGGCGCCATCTTCATAGAGCTCTAGCTCCCTTAGGAAGCATTTACAGACTAGGTTAGTTAACAGTGTCCGATAATTATTTAAAATTTTTTCCTCCTAACTAAGAGACTAACAGATTGGCAAAATTTGGACGCGATCTTTTAAAAACCATTTTATTAAATCTTGGCGAGCATACTTGAATTATCTTTATGATTGGTTTACAATATTCCAGTATCATTCCAGCGCAGCTTTTCAGTCGAGTGGTGGAATGCTACTGAAATAATGTGAACCTGTATTAGAATGAACCATTTCAGTGATTAATCCAGTCCAGTTGACTGAAATGACAGTCTATTTTTCATTCCAGCTAGCCAATTCCACCGTCACTCGAATGACTGGAATACAGCTTTTGAATGACTGGAATAACGTGAACGATATGATCCAGACCAGCAATGAACTGGATTAACTCGCTGGATTACTGAACTGAAATAATGTGAACTGACAATTCGACTGTAACATCACATTAAATTAAGTATTTTCTAGGCGATACGTGTGGATATAGTCCTTATGGATGATATAATGTATATATGTTTTTCTTTGATAATGAAGTCATTTTCACCAATAGACTGATCTTGTTTACCATTATGGTAAAAAGAATGACCTAATTAAAGAGTAAACCAGCTTTCTTCCCTGTGTTTTATTTCGTCCAAACCTGTTGGTTAAAGTTTAATAATTCTTCGAGATAATGTAACTGTAAATACTGACATTATAATTGGTTTAGTTACAGGACCCACCAAGAGCAAGAAATGGAAGATCTCAAGCAAACACATTTTAACAGAAGCAGCTATAGCTTTATTAATACTAAATATTACTGTGTTTGGTGTACTTGTACTTATATACCATGGTAAGTATCTTGGCTTATACTGGTAGGTATAACCTTTGTAACATATTGACGTAATTGAGGAGATACTATTACTCCAACCTCATACATATGTTGACCGTCATAATTTCCCGAGTGGTATACCATATGGTTGTCAACAATACAAGCACCACTATTTGGCCACTTTATTTCGCTTATGCTCATTATACCCACTCTAAGTCTGGTCATTTCTTGAATGGTATTATGAAGTTTTCTAGCCTGATACATTGTCTTCACAATCCAGGTACAAATTGTGATAATGAACTCTGAAGTTTTCAGAAAGGTTTTTCCAGTTCTATCACAGGGTTTCTTTGCGTTACGACGTGGGAGGCCCTGTGATCTAGAGGTGTATCACTTCCCCTGCCAAATTTTGGCTTCCGTATTCCATGTTTTGTAGCTTTTTCCACTTTAGTTGTGTTTGCCATGATAGCTGTACTAGAGATGTTATCAGAGAACTTTAATGCAGTGGTTTCTTGTTGCCTTCTACATTCTGATGCCGTTGACAACTTTCATGGTTCTTCCGCCTTCGAGACCACTTTCTCAATCTCAGGTCAACAGGGTGCCCTCCCACTTACCAGCTCATCCTCCCGAAGCCATTGGCCAGTAAATGGTGGATTGCTTATCCCGGCAAACACTCGAAAGTCAGAGCCTCGTTGGCTATTTAGCAGGATGCACCAGATGACCATGATCTAAATCATCATACGAGCAGGTGAGGTTGACATTTGAATAGGAGAGGCTATATGTTGTGCATCACTATCCCAATTCATCCCAATGGCAATTATGACCAATAGAAAACAAGATAAGTGATGGTACTCATAAAATACGGTCACGGAAAAGTGGAAGGGAGAAATGTCCGCTGCAATATCTCGGCTTGTTTTTTATTATTGGTTATAGAAGATCCTGTTTTTTAAAGTGTGTTTTTTGACCAGCTTTTCATTCAGCCTACGTACAATATTATGACATATAAATGTCAAATTTATTATAGATGATTATGAACTAAAAAGTAAGCCCTTTTCAAATCGTTTTTTAATAAAAATGTTCTTTTATTAAACCTTAAAAACACAGCCTTAAAAACCTAATTGCAGAATAAAGTTACACAATATCTCAGTAACTTCTGCAATTTTTAAGTAGTCATATAATATGTCGCTATATAACTTCTTAAAAAATTACTGCAAAAATAAGGGTTTCCTGCAATTATCTCGGTCAATTGTTTATGTATTTTAATGTAGAAACTCTTGAAGTTAAATAACTTTTATGAGCTACAATTTTTATCTGAACTATTTTTTTCTAGAATGTATAAGAAACGTTTTATAGGCAAAAATATTCTCACTTTTTAAGACTTTAAAATAACAAAGCAATATTGGTTGTACGACGTCACGTATTTTTTATCAGCTACCCCTCATATCAAATACACGTACAAGATTTTTTAGCATTCTTTCTTCCTTAATTGAGTCTATGGTGGTCAACTTTTACAACCTTGAAAATATATCAGTTTAAGCATTTTCTGCATCATTTAGTATATATTTTATTAACTATATATTTTTTATATTCTAGAGACTAACATCTTCAGAACACCGATGGACATTCAAGGAATTCAAGAAATTAAGACAACAAATTATCCTCCATTTCAGCGAAAAACTGATATCAAAATTAAAGAGATTAGAAATTGCTATTTAACCAAGCCGCTAAAACTATGCTGCTTGCTTTTCGAAAAAGAAAACGCTATATTTTCTAAATTTTGTAGCGACCACAAAAAGTTTTCGTCTGCCTCGCACGCTAATTTAAGAGGTCGTAGAGATTTACCAAAAAAATCGAAATCAGTTGTGTCTGCTAAACAGCACGCCGACTATCAACTGGTTCCTTATTTCCAACCACTAGATCCGTATAACTATATGTATTATGATGATAACTTTGAAGACCACGAAGACTATGAAACTCCTTTTGGGGAGTATGTTTATTATGCAGATTATCCAATATTTTTAAATCACGATAAAAAACAAAGCGGTCAGAGAGACTATGATAATCACGCAGCTGGTGCACATGTAAATCATGTTAAAAAAGTATTAGAACCAAATTATAATTTTGAGAAAAGCTTCAGAAATGATAATAAAAATTTAAAAACAGTTCATGGACCTGTACTTACAGATAAATCTTCATTAAAAGAACTAAGTTCGTCTTCTGGCCCAAAACAGTCTATGCACGAAAATATAGTCCAAACCAAAGAAAAAATAAAGGATTCAGATGATATTAATAAAAAAATAATAAATAAAAACTTACAAAATTATAACCATAATTTAGATAATGAACATAAAATTAAAGTTGATACGCAAGCAGAAAATTTAAATAAGGCGGTAATCGACCAAGGCAAATTACAAACAGATGGTGGCAAGCTTATCAGGCTCAATGAGATCAATGCCAAGAATAGTGAAGACAAACCAGATAAAATTGATATACCTATTAAGCTTGCCGATGATGAAGACGACGACAAAAGCATCCAAAAAAGTGCAGAAGAACTTTTCGAGGACAAACGTATAGCAATGGGCAGGATCAACAATGGTGCAGAAATTATACAAAGATCTTCAATTAATTCAGTTTCTACAAAAGATGCAAAAGATACCAATCATGATCCTAGAAACCGAGATAAAGGTGAAATTCCTATAGCAACCATAGAAATGCAATCAAATGGCCAGACAATGTTCAACCCGTGTTTTAATCAAGTTTCACAAGTTCCTACGTCGTACAAATTAGTTCCAGCAGACGGAAATAGCCTCTTTAAAATTGTACCTTCATCCTCACCCAAGTTTTCTCCATATGCTGTCAATCCCCAGGTGTACCCTTACATGCAATCACCTTACATAATTCCTCAACAAGTAATACCTATGAACACCATGAACCAACAAATGCAGAACACTCCACTCCACGTCAACGGACCAGGTGGACAATTTTATGTTTGCAATCCTATTGCTGCTCCAAACAATAACAACAACGGTGTGGCTAATAATATAGTTAATATGCCAGGGGTAGAAGTAAGAAGAGATGCAAGTAATTTGCAGGATTTACTGGGATCGTTGCCTAAACCCGAAAAACCTAAGTAAGAATAACTTATTTTATATAAAAAATTTGTTAGTAATTACGAAAAATCTGATCGTCCTCTGCATTTTATTTAGTGTGTTTCTCTAATTTTCTAGTTTAATTCTAGTAAGTACTCTTATTTTCAGTTTTTCATCAATTATTTATCTAGCAGTAACCAAGAAAAGTATAGTTGGAGCAATGTTATTCATTTGCAATATGACATTTCTTCGCAATGACATTTTAAGATTAAAATCGAACGTTTTATTAACAAAATGATGTTGATGTAATGATGTACGAATTGAACAGACTAGTTGTGCACTAGACGGTTCACAACCTCGTTACCGTATATTCCAATATGAGATAGAACCCAGATGAATACCACGTGTTTGTTTTCCTTTGCAGCATTTTGAAGTTCTTTGTAAATGTCTTTATTCAGAGCATTCATTGAGGCAGTTATCATTGTGTAATTTCTCTGGTCCGTTTTGTTAATAAATTTTAGAGCTTTAAGGATTGCATATAGTTCTGCATTGAAGATAGTACAGTTGTTATGCAACTTAAATTTAGCATTATGATTTTTACAGAAAATGGCTGCGCCGACTCCGTCCGTTGTTTTTGATGCATCTGTGTAAATCTGTCGGTAGTCGCTAAATCTATCCGTAATATCTTTGAAGTGGCATTATTAATATGGCTGGTGGGGATTCATGATTATTAAATTTTGGTAGATTAGTGATTACTGGTGGTTTATTTACAGTCCATGGAGGAGGAGGGTTTTCAGAAGGGTGGTATATTGTCAAGAATATTCTGCTACATTTATGAAGTAATCGGTTAATTCGTTCATAGAAAGGCGGATTACATTGAGGATAAGATGAGAAGTAGTGGCTGAAACGATTGCTGTGAAGGTTATGGTAGACTGGGTTATCTAGAGAGGATAGAACTTTACAAGCAAACGACAAACTTAAAAAAATCTCTTCTAAATTCTAAAGAGGTTTGCCCTGACTTACTGCATATACTTAGTATAGTCCTTGTTCGAAAGGCACCCAAACCTAGATAGTTGAAGGTGTTTACATCTCAGGCCACAAAATCAACTCTATTCAGATAGTTGGGTGGTTGTACGTCTTTTAATGTGCTGTCTCTTTGATTTTTTGTTGAAAACTTTTTTTTGATGAAAAGAAAAATATTAGTATTTTTGACCAATTTTGTCTTGGTAATATAAATACTAATCTGAATAATAGTATTAGCCAGTATTGTAATATTGCCTGCTTAACCTTATTTATTAAAATGCCAATGATAATTCCTTATACCTTGTGTCTCTTTCCTAAAGGTAGTTGAAATATTTTCTTAGTATAAATACTAAACAAAATAGGAGATAGTATATAGAATTATCGGACTCTCTTTAATATTTCGAAAGTGTTCACTAAAATGTCGGTATTAATAAAATTGCATTCTACTGGTTTTAATACAGCTCTTATATTTCTTATATCTTTATTGTCAATACCGATTTACTGTAATTACTCTAATAGTAACTAACAGTAGTGCCAAATACAAGCCTTCGGTTGACCATCATTACGAATAATAATTGATATCTGTCATAAATTGTTTACAGTAATCTCTACACTGATCTTATATCACATTGGTAGCAAAGAGGCGTGTCGCTTCACCACAAGTTCCCAAAGCCTTTTTATATGCATTTACTATTTGGTGAAATTGATCCATAATAGACTTGCATTCGGTTATTACAGATTTTGGAGTTATACATCTAGATGTCACTGGCTCTTGATTAAAAATTCCTCCTCCTCGTATCCTATTATTTCTGAAAGAATTCAATAACGCATTAGATTCTTTTATGAGATTTTCATTGGTTCTAAGGAGAATATAGTGATTTTGTTCAATCGTGGGCATACCACCACCCCTCAGGCGAAGAGTTCTAGATTGATCTTTTTTAGGAAATGGATACCTATGTTTACATGTTCTTAAAGATCCCTCTCTATCTAATAATCAAGAATGACTGCATTTTGCCTGTTTACAACTGCAAGTATTTAGTGACACTTTGCTTTCATTTTATGTCTTAAATTTTTGGGCTGGGGGATAATACGGTTGATCTGGATCTTTAGGCCTTCTAAACACACCATATGGTACATAATGTTCGAAACTTCCATAAGTGTTACTTATACCGTAAGTAACTGGAGGTTCAACGATATCATACAAAGTTCCCAGACCTAACCCTGCGGCAAGAGGACCAATGTCGAATTTTTAAATTTTTTGGTAGCTGCTAGATAAATATTTATTCATAACTGTCCAATATGTTACATTTTTAACTCCGGATAATTCTCTTTTTTCATCACTTTTCCCTCAATCCTCTTTTTCATTATGAGGCCTAGAAGATGGATTTTTTACTTGTATCTTAGAAAACTTGTTCTATATTATTAATAAATTTTTTTAGGAACAATGGTAGAGCTTCCCAAATAATATGTCCTGTCGGCTATGAGGCATGTTCGGATGATAGTAAATGTGTTCCCAAACATCAGTTTTGCGATAACGAAGCCCACTGTAGTGACGGCAGCGACGAAATGTTTTGCAGTTGCAAAGAAAGGGTTGGAAAATTAAGAACATGCGATGGATACTTTGACTGTCCAAATGGAGAAGATGAACTTGGATGTTTTGGTAAGTGACTTACAGACTAAATAATAATTGTAATTGGTTAAGGCTATTTAGGTTATTTATTAATTTAATTGACAGAACAATTAACAACATTAATTAATAAAATTATAAAACACAATAAAATACCGGAAGAATGGAGAATGAGCGAACTAATAATACTATTCCAAAAAGGAGATAAAAATAACAGCCAGAAAACTACAGAAGTATAAAATTGTTAAATACTATACTTGTTAAATAAATTCAACTAAATTTTTACAAGTGCTAATAAATCAGAGGATAAGTTAAGCAGATGAATAACAGGGTTTCCGTAGTGGAAGATCGTGTACAGATGCAATATTTAAAGTTCCCCTAAATATTATAAAAACTTTCGAAAACATCTACCAAAACAACAAAATGAGTCAGAATAGACAGCTTAAAGAACCTATAGAAATAGGCAGCGGAATAAGACAAGAGGATTCATTGAGCCCCATGCTCTTCAATTTGATCATGAATGAAATCATCAAAAGCGTTGTCAAAAGAAGAGGACACAGAATAAGAAACAAAGAAATAAAAATACTCTGCAAAACTGGTCACAGATTTAACATAAGGCTCATCGGCGTAGACCAGCGATTTCATATCCCCCACAGAAAATACTCTAGTGGTGTTAAATTGTACGATTTTGAAGGCCAATTCATGGCATAAAATAAGAAACTATGCGATTGCTAAACATTTTCTTTAATAAATCAATTGTAGCACGAGCTGTGAGACATGTTGAGCCGTCTTGTTGAAACCACAGCTCTTGCACATAGTCGTTGTTTAATTGAGGAATGAAAAAGTCAGTAGTCATGGCTCTATAGTGGTCACACCATTGATTGTAACATTCTGCATTGTTTTCGAAGAAGTATGGACAAATGATTCCACCAGCCCATAAAGTACACTAAATATTCAGTTTTTCTGCATGTAATGATGATGTATAAACATATACTTGATGATTACCTTCACTCCAAATACGACAGTTTTGTTGGTTGACGTAGCCATTCAATCAAAAACGAGCTTCATCGCTAAACAAAATTCGATTATGAAAATCGGGATCAAGGGGTTTTGGGCTCATTCATCGAATATACGTCTTGCTAGGTGATCATGTAGCTTCAATTCTTACATGAGTTGGATTTTGTAAGCACGAAAACTAAGATCTTTCCACAAAATCTTCCATAAAGTGGATGAACAGATATCCAACTTCTGTGCGCAATAGAGAATAGACTGATTCGGGTCTTCCTCTATGCTATGCTCTAGATACAGCAACAGCACTTCTTCTATACGCACTGTGCGACATCTCTGTGGATGCATATTATACATACATTTAAAGTAAACGTGGTGAGAAAACCTTTAATGGTTAATCGAATTAATTGCTCTAAAACCATGATTTTCTAAATAAATTTGAAAGAATTATCCAGGCGTTACTCTAGTCATGCTGAAATGGCAAACCAAACTAAACATAAATCACTTGATAAATAGCTGTTAGTTAAAAAAGTATTACCAACTTACATTTCTATACCTCTAAAACAACCCTTTGTATTTACCTATTTATATATTGTATAGTTACATATTAATACATATGTAAGTGGAATTGTATTTTTCTTGTTCCCCTTTTAAGGGTTTGTAAAAAGAAATAATGTGTATTATCTAAAAGCACTATTTAAGTTAGATTTGAATATGCGGCCTGCATAAAAAAATTTATTTTGAAAATGGCCTGCAATCCGAAGAAAGTTGCCAACCCCTGCTCTAGGGGATTGGCGTCCCAATGGAGTAAGGACTCATATCGGCAATTCTTTTATCATTTTAAGATTTTTTACCATCACACAGTATCTTTTTATAGCAATTTTGATTATTTTTTAATATAGTAAGGTTTTGTCGAATATAAATATTATCAGTAATAGATTTCTAAGTTAGTATTTCCAACGAAAAGTATTTACAAATAGATTTGAAAATAATCTTATTTTTTTATAACCAACTTTCCTTATTAGCATTATAAAGTGTGTTTGTTGAAAGTTTTTTAATCGTTTAAATATTGTTGCAGGCTGTGGTAAAGATGAGTTTAGTTGTGACGATTGGTCCAAATTCAGAAAGAGTACGTGTATACTAATAGAACAACGTTGCGACGGTATCACGCAGTGCGAAATAACTGGAAAAGACGAGGAAGACTGCACTGCGCTTACTGACCATATTGGAAAGCAACCGTTTAACAAAATTTCAAATTCGATCGGATTTCTTCACAGGAATTTTAAAGGAAAGTGGTTTCCTACGTGTTTGGGTTCTGATATATGGGCTATGGATGTCTGTAAAGTTGAAGCTGGACCGGTGTCTGTGTAAGTATAAAAATATAAGTTGTTGTCTAGCTGTTTCTATCGTATTTGGAATGAAATTAATGGAAACTTCATCTCACACTCATCAGTCACCAGCGTGACAATGTATGTATCTACCATCTATAACATTTTATATTCATATTACAAACAAAGGCATCTCCGATTCGTCTCTCATGTCTCATGTCTGCATTTTGCTTCTTCTTAACATTTTTACAGCATATGGTCTCTTTGCTGATCTCTTTCCTGGCTTTTCTAATATAGTTACTTGTATCTATCCAGATAGCTTGTCTTTAAGAAATACATTTTATACGTAATCTACATATTTTTGCCCTGCAACTGTCAATTCCAGTCGTCTTAACCATTATGCTGCGGTTTTATAGGAGTGTGTGCTGAAAGTGATAGATGAGCATAACATCAAAGTATTAGTAAAACTTTTTAATGCAATATGTAACACTGGAGTGACCCCAAAAAAAGTCCATCTTTGTCGCAATACCTTAAAAATACCTGCTAATGAACCAGACTCTTAAGATTATCCTAAGAATGCGTCTAATTCTCAAAATATAGTTGAATGCAAATACAAAGATGCCAATCTGGTTTTAGAAATGCTATGGAAATCAAGGAAGCACTTTTTGAGCTAGATATCCTATTACAAACTCAAACTAAACCAAATTTTTAGTCTTAAAACTTAACCTTCATCCAGATGCAGAGCTTCAATTAAATGGAGACCAAGTTGGAAAATTTTACAAAATTACATATTTGGAAACTGTCATAATGTTCGATTTTTTCTGTTGGCCTAGTAATCTGAAAATCCCATATAGAAACATATAAATATGGGACATTTTTAACTCTCGACCATTCTGGTCTCTGCTCCCATATAGGGTCTCCTGTATCCTGGGAGTCCGTTGTAGAGGCTCTGCTCCGGTTCTTCGAATTCTGAGACTCTGTGGCTGGACCTTGTCTACCTTCTAAACTGCATTTTATTTTACTTTTCATGTAAGAAATATCGATTATCCACCAAAGATTGAATCTATGCAGAGGATACTTCGAATTGGCTGGTCGAAGTCCCTCTGTAAGGCACTGTGACCGTTTTCCAGGCGTTTATTTCCCATTTGGTGATAAAGAGTGGACATTAAAAGTACAAACAAAGTGGATTCATATATGGATGCGGAAGATACCTTAGAGCACAATAAAAAGTAATCAAGAAGTACTTAGGAGAGTCAACAAATATAGAGAATTGCTAAAAATAGGAAAATGTCTTATCTGGGAGAGATAATAAGGGGAAAATCGATATAGACTACTATAACTGAAATGCAAAATAGAAAGACGTAGAGATGTAGGAAGAAAACAGGTTTCTTGGTTACAAAACGTTCGTGAGTAGACTTGGATATGTACAAAATAAAAGATAATAATTATTCCAACAGCCAAACCGAGAGCGGAACAGGAGATAAACTACTGACAGAATCTTTGGTCACCGACAGTTGTTGCGTAATCGGTTTCTTAAAAGAATTTATTTTTGCTATATCGTATTAACTGTGAACAACCTCTGCCAATTTTTCAGTAGTACGATCGGTTAGGCCATTAACTTACCGATCTGCTGAAAGGGCCCTATTTTCTATCGATTTTCATTCTTCGGATGCTTTTACTCCAAATATACCTAATTTTGTATGTTTATCCTTCAAAGTACAAAACTATATTTTAAGAGAACTCTCCCTAACTGTAGATAACAAAATCAATGTAGTTTCATTTCAAGAATATGTTCCATGGACGTATAAACATAGATGGACACAGCAATAAGATACCTTTAACACACAATGTTTTGAAGCTTCCATATAATGTGATGCTTCCGCAATGAGCATAAGCGTGCTTGAATTTTTACTCGCGGGTAATTATTCAGATTTTAAAAATTGGAAGTAGTAATAATGTATAAAAACACGTTTTAAAAAGGTACTAAACAGATCTTTTTTAATCAGATCATGTCTACTTACAATTTAAAAATGTCTACTAATTTCATGAACTTATATCTTATTCAATACATTAATGAACATGAATAAACCCAATGGTACGCCTATTAAAATGTAAACAAACACGCTTCATCATTTCCTCATCTTAAATAATGTAAATTGTATGTACTTACAAATGAAATGAGAGATCGGGATGTAAATATTTCGTTTATTTTATTTCACTTTTCACAAATATCTCTCAAAATACAGCCAAAATATCGAAAAAGAACTTTTACTAAAAAGTAAACAAACATGGAACAGCATTTGAAGTTTGACGTAGATCCATAAGACAAAGAAATGTAAACAACCGTTGCCATTTATAAATAGTTTTCAGTGCTTCTACATATAAAATAATTGATTGATATCTATTATACGCTATTATTAAATGATAATGCACACTATGTGCACACTTTATATTTTGATTACAATTAAATATATTAATCTAATCAATAAATTATTATTTTGGTTTGATAGCACCTGTAGAGTATAAAATACGGAGTAATATTTTCAGCGACTCGCGAATAAGAAATTTTAAAACAAAACGTAACAACAGTTGAAGGTGCTGAGAATGTGACCTATTCAAATAATTTTGACTGCACAATTTTATGTAAATAACTGAGTCCATCTGTGTTTATACGTCCATGATATGTTCGATTAATTAAATCTACCTTTAAATACGATATTTCACTTTAAGTAACGTCCTTTATATTTTAGGTTTCCCAAAACACACATGGTCGTTACTACAAATAGCTACGATGGCGATTTCATTAACGTTCTTCCCAACAATGAAGTGAGTTTCGTTAAGAACTGCGTCCAAGATAGAGCTGCTTTTGTGGAATGTCCAGCATTATTCTGCGGCATGAGGATGAATATTAAAAATCCTTACAGACCCCACGAGGTAGATATCAGCGCAGAAAACATGATAAATGATTTAGAAAGGATCGCCAATAAGCACAACGGGCAACATTTCGATGCAAAACTGTTCCATTCGCTGCATCAAAAAGAGAGCGATCAGAAGCATGAAGACAAAGATCCTATTTTAGGAGATGGTAGAGTTGTTGGTGGTGATCCTAGCCAACCAGCTGCTTGGCCTTGGTTGGTATCAATATATAGGAACGGCATTTTCCATTGTGGAGGCGTTCTAATACATGAATCGTGGATAGTCACAGCAGCACATTGTACCGACAGGTAAAACTAATTAAAGAGCAATTATTTAATTTCTTATAGATATTTCTTATAAAACTAAAGTAATCGTGACGCCCTGTTTGATTTTTCCATTTCGATGTATTCATATGTTAAAATGATACCAATAATAATATCATATTCTGTTCCCCTTCATGCCCTACCCTCATTCATTTGAAGCCTCGTACGTTAAAATTGGACTTATATTAGTGAAGATACGATATAGTGCTCCTTTGGCAATGTCGATGTGTTTGTGTTTTATCTCAACATATTAGTCATCCTCACCCCTTTCCAGCAAACCCTCTTACGTCACTATCGGGCCAATAACAACGAAGATACAATGTAATGTCCTTTTTGGCAATACTATCATATTTAATTTTTCTATGTCTTTGCATTCTCCACCCCTCCCTTTTTATTTAACGTTTTAAACGTCAAAATCAGACCAATAGCAACGAAGATAAGATGTAATGTCCTTTTGGCAATATTGTCATGTTTATTTTTCTCTATGACCCGCAGTATCCTATCTCCTTTTATTTGACACCTCGTACGTGAAAATTTATTCAATGGATACGAAGATATGATGTTGTGCCCTTTTGCTTATGTTGTCACGTCTATTTTGTTTGTCTTTGTATTCTCCACCCCTCCCCTGTTATTTGACGCCTCGTACTTCGAAATCCTACATTTGTAATTAATTTTTCTACTTCTTCGTTAAGTTATTTATTGGTTTTGATTGATACATTTTAGTTAATTGTGTCACTTGGCTCCTTTTTTAAACTTTCTTTGTTTGTGTAGGGTTATTTTCTCCCAATATAGTATACTCACTAACAGTTACAGACAAAAAGCAAATTATTCAAGATGTCACTGTACTCAATAAACTATCAGTAGGAAGCGACCACAGACCAGTAAGAGCTAGAGTAACGATCAATCTACAAAAAGAAAGAGCAAAGATGATAAATAGTTGTAAACGCATAGATTGGAATTCACCAAATCATCCAGAAGCATACATAAGAAATATAGCCGAAACTTTACAGAGTAATAATCCCAAACCTCTAAGTATCGACGATCACAATAAATTAATAACAGACTCAGTTAGAAACGCACAACTCAAATTTTGCAAGAAAAATGACACCAAAAGTGAAAAGATTAGCAAAGATACAAGGGCTCTCATGGAAATACGACGAAACCTAAGCGAGAACGAAAAGGGAAACAAAGAAGAATATAAAAAACTAAATAAAAGAATTTCAGCGGAAATTAGAAAAGATGCAAGAAGATATAATACTAATGTAATTACTCAAACAGTAGAAGAGAACAAAGGTTTAAAGATAATGAAAAGAAAACTTACGCAAAGTAAAAAAGGAATATACAAGCTGAGAGATAAAGACGGAAAGGCAACAACAGATAAACAAAACATTCTGAAAATAACTAGAGAATTTTATAAAGACCTCTATACCAGCCGAAGACCACAAGACAATTTCCCGACACGAGTAAAGACTCTCATAAATCAGGGATCGGAAATACTTTTACCCATTACTGTGTCAGAAGTAAGAGCAGCTTTAAAGGAAATGAAGAACCATCGATCGTCTGGTGATGATGGACTCGTTATTGAGGCAATAAAAGCAGGTGAAGAAATTTTATTAAAATCAGTAAGAGAACGGATTACTAAATGCTTACATGCGGGTACGATTCCAAAAGACTGGAACAATGCAGTAATAGTCTTGTTACACAAAAAAGGCGATATTACTAAATTAGAAAATTATAGACCCATCAGCCTCTTGACACATATGTACAAACTCTTTATGAAAATCTTAACAAAGAGGCTAACATCTAAACTTGATTTCTATCAGCCCAAAGAACAGCAGGCTTCAGGGCAGGATATGGCACAAACGACCATTTGCATACCATAAAGATCTTAATAGAAAAGTGCATCGAGTACAACATACCACTGGTTCTTGCATTTGTCGATTACGAGAAGGCTTTTGATTCTGTAGAGTTTGAAACAATACTGGAAGCCCTAAATCAAAGCCGAATAGATTACAGGTACACGACACTAATCAAAAACATCTATCAGAACGCTACATCAAGTATACGACTGCACGAAGACACAGAAAATTAGACAAGGAGACAATATTTCACCAAAATTGTTCACGGCAGCTCTAGAGTCAATATTTAAGGGTACTCAATGGCAAGATATGGGCATCAATATAGATGGAGAAAGATTAAATCACCTAAGGTTTGCAGATGATGTTGTATTAATCACAGCACTGTATCATGTATTAATTACATGATACAGTTTCTATGATGCATTCGCTTAAAAGTCTGTCTGAAAGAGCAGGATTAAAGATAACCTTTGAGAAAACTAAAATTATAACAAATCTCGTAATGAGTGGAAATATAACTATTGACAATAATACCATACAACAAACAGACACTTACAAATATCTGGGACACGAAATCAAAATAAGCAGAGACAATCAAACACATGAAATACAGAGGCGAATAGGTCTAACATGGGCAGCATTTGGTAAATTAAGCCATATTCTAAAGAGTTCAATTCCCATGTGTCTCAAGCGAAAGGTTTATAACCAATGTGTTTTACCTGTACAAACTTATGGAGCAGAGACTTTAACACTCACGCAAAAATCTGCGAATAAACTTAGAATTACACAACGAGCCATGGAACGTGCAATGCTGAACGTGAGCCTTCGAGACCACATAACAAACCAACAAATCAGGCGAAGATCAGGAGTTCAAGACGTCATCGAAAGAACCACGACGCTTAAGTGGAACTGGACAGGCCACTTAGCCAGAACACAAGATGGACGGTGGACAAGACGTATTATGGAATGGAGGCCCAGAAATTATAAAAGAAGCCGAGGACGACCACCGACTAGATGGACCGATGACATTAAACGTGTAGCCGGAAACTGGCTATAAGCGGCCCAGTGTAGAGAACACTGGAAAGAACTGAGGGTGACCTATGTCCAGCAGTGGACGCGATTGGCTGATTGATGACTAACAGTTAGTAATATTAAAAAGTCATAAGAGTTAGGACAATTATTAAACTCTTGTATTTTCATAAAATTTCTTGTAACTTTTCTTAAAATAAAGATGGCAATCAAGTCTAGCTATTTTTGCCGGTGGGCCAATATATAGCTTCTCTATTTGAGTACCATTTCTGATGTATATCTTCTATTGCTACATGAAGTTTTCTACCTTTTCTATTAATTAGACTTCAACCCCAACGGTGATTTTAATATTTAAATCTGCTCCAATGACGATTTTTTTCTTTAATTGTGCTGAAGAACAGAACGCAAGTTCGGCAGGATGCAACAGAAACAGCGGTTCGTGGTTTGCAGTCACAGTTTAAAGAGTCCATTTACGTAACGAGGGAAGTCCGTTATATAACACGTAATCGTTTTCAATTTTATTAAAAACTGTAATAAAAATAAATAAATAATAAAATTACCTTATTCATTTTAAAAAATATTATTTAAAACTTAAAAATATATAAAACACAGTATGAAACTTGGCGCTAGTACTACTATTTGTAATTGTTTTTATATTATGTTGTGGTGGATAATATAAAGTAGTTTTACTACTATTACTGCTAATTCACTGGCTATAATTTTAGGCTTAAAGACTTGATATATGTGATTTCTTGTAAGTTTGATGAAATGAGACAAAGACAGGTGAAGAGTTAATTAAAAATAATAGTATCTAAGGAATTCATCTGTAAAATAAAAAAAAGTGTGTAGTCGAAAAATTTGAGCATACCATACCGAGATTTTCTCCTACATACCATGACATGTCGCATCGCTATCGCACAAATGCAGTGAGTCATTAAAGTGTAATATTGCGGCGGATGCCATTTCTTTTAATGTCAATGTAACGTCCAACAATGGCCCATAAATTCAGGTTAATGTCTATTCGGGTATAAGCGACATCGGCATGGGTTCTTGGTCGAAAACTTGGCATTAATATTAATACAGGGGTAATTGGTTATTCCAAGAGAGTGCTCTGCTTGATAAGAGCCGCGCGACTATCTAAATAAAACAAGACATGCCGCGGAATAAAATAAAGGTGGTGTCTTAACTTACAAGTATTATACACCATGAAATATACTCTCAAAAATTAACGACTAGGTTAGAAGTCTAGATGGAATAATAATATATAACATAGTTTCTAATATAGGCTTCGGTTTGTCATTACAATGAAAGTTTCTTTACTATTGATAACCTTTTCCTTTTATTTATACAGTATGATGCAAATTTATGGAATAAATTTATTGTTCAAGAAACAGACGACTTTCAAAAAATCTTAAAATACGTCAATAATTTTTGAATGAGCATCAGTTGCTTTAATATGTGTGTTAGTGTGTGTGTAAGTAAAATTAAATTTTACAGTAAATACTTATTTACTAGTAAAAGTACATCAACAGAACGGGACCACAATAATATTTTCCCATCTATCTATCTATCTAATCAGCCTTAAACGCCCACTCTTGGGCATAGGCCTCCCCTGTTAATCTCCATTGGTCTCTATTTTGGGCGATCTGCATCCAGTCCTTTCCTGCCGTTATCTTAAGGTCAATCCAGTCCATCTCATCTGTGGTCTTCCTCTTTTTTTTTCTGTTCCCATGGTCTCCAGTGTAGAGTTCGCTTATTCCATCTTTCATCTTTTTGCCGGAGAGTGTGACCGGCGTTGTTCCATTTAAGTTTTGCAATCTGTCTTGGTACATCATTCACTTTTGTTTTTTCTCTGATCCATGAGTTTCTTTTCCTGTCTTTAAGACCGATACCCAGCATCTGTATTTCCATTGCTCTTTGTGTTTTGGATATCCTGTCGATGTTCTCCTTTGTGAAAGTCCATGTTTGTGAGCATGAATACTTTCGTTCGCATATATTGAGGGAACTTTTTATTTTTTAGAATATATGATAGTTTACCAAATGAGGCCCATGCTAGTCTAGTTCTTCTTTTTATTTCTTCTGTTTGATTGTCCCTGTTTAGCTTTATTATCTGTCCTAGGTATATGTATTCTGCCACCTGCTCTAATTTATTCTGTTTGACTACTATTTCTAATTGGTCTTCTTGGTTTGTCATAGTCTTGGTTTTACTATAGTTCATCTCTAGACCTACAACTGTCGCTTTTCTATCTAGTTCCTCAACCATCTTCTATAACTCTTCCATCTTATCTGTTATCAGGACTATATCGTCTGCATATCTCAAGTGGTTCAAGAGCTCTCCATTTCTTCTTATTCCTTATGTATCCCATTCTAATTTTTTAAATATGTCTTCCATAGCCTGATTGAGCAATTTTGGCGATATTGTGTCTCCCTGCCTGATTCCTCTTTCGAATTTTATTGGTTCTGTAGCGTGTTCGTTCGTCAATTTTATTGTGGTACTCGCATTTTTGCATTATGTTTGTTATTAGGTCCGTGTACGTGTAACCAATTCTGCCGTTCTGTAGTTAGCTTTTGATGGCCCAATGTTCTATGATGTCAAACGCCTTTCGGAAGTCTATGAATGCCATGTATATTGGGATTAGATACTCGTTCGACTTTTCAATCAGTATTTTTACTGTTAGCAGATGGTCGCTAGTACTAAAACCGTTTCTGAATACCGCTTGTTCTCTTGCTTGGTATTCGTCAAGCTTAGTTGTTAGTCTATTTGTCATGATCTTCGTTAGTAGTTTAAATACAACACTTAGTAATGGTATAGGTCTATAGTTTTCTAAGTTCTTTCGATCACCTTTTTTGAACATTAATAGTGTCTCCGCATCGTTCCAGCTATCGGGTATTTCTTTTGTGGTCAATATTTTGTTCATGAGGATATGTAGGACTTCTCTAGTTGTTTTCCCTCCTCTCTTTAGCATCTCTGCAGTTATTTCATCTTTTCCAGGTAACTTATGGTTTTTTAATTCTTGAATTGCTTTCTTGATTTCTGTTTTACTTATTTCTGGTTGTAGGTCAGAGTTTATATTTTTTATTTTTGTGTTTAATTGTTTAAGAATTTCTTGCTGTGGTTTATGTCTTGTTCTGTATAGGTGCGTATAGTATTCTTGTGGCAACCTTATTATTTGTCTCATATCATTAATGTTTGTTCCTTCGCTGTTTGTCATTTCATTTATCTGAGTTTTACCGAGTCATTGTTTTAAGCATTTCATATTTTTGTTCTGCTGCATTACTCTTTTAATAGCTTTGCTTTTCTCATATCTGGGGAAAAATGAGGCCTTTGTCATTATTTTTGCAAGAGTAAATCTCGTAAGTTAATTTAACTTTTCTCTAGGTTCTGGGGATATTTTAAGGTGAATTCCAAGGTGTATTCTGGTCATTTTTATCTCTTTTTGTGGTTTGGGTCTCATCGGACCTTGGCGTAATAGGGCTCGCTAAAAAGAAGAAGGGGTGGGGAATAATAAGACGCAGAAAACACACACAACGACATTAGCAAAAGGGCACTATACACCCATAAGCTTGAGAAAAAAGTTACTCCAGTCCTCAGAGACGAAAATACTGAACCTCTAAAAATCATGCAAACAAGCTGAATTTGATCGAGAATGTTTATTTTGGGACCCCAAAAAAGATGGAAAAAAGTTTACCATTTTTACCCCTGGTCTTCCCCCTAAAACCGCCAATGCAGGAGGGTAAAAACGCAAAACAATTGTTTTACAAAAAAATGTTTTAAATAAAAAATGTAGCTGAGATAATTTTAAACAAAAATGTTTATAAGCATTTTTTGAGTAGAATGGACCGTTCAATAAAATTAGTATCAGCTCGACGGTAAAAATTCGATATCTTTTGATTCGATGACCTATCGACAAAAATCAAGATTTATTGTAAAGGTAAAGAGTCCAGCTTTCCATTGACTGGCCACTATAATGTTTCGATCACTAGAGCCTTATTGATTAATAAAGCATTTTGCATTTTGTTTGGGATTCCAAAATAATATTCTCTGTAAAATTTAGCTTGTTCGTATGATTTTTAGGGGCCAAGTCTCTGACGACTGGACCTATGTATGTAAACGTTTCTAATTTAATTTTTTTCGTGCTTATTTTTTTTTCCTGCGTAATTTTTTCAGATATTGGCAATTCTACTTCGAAATCCAAGCAGGAACACTACGAAGATTCTCATTTGCTCCAATGGAACAGCACAGATGGGCGACCGTTGTTATCAGTAATGAAAACTACGACAGAGGGACCCTTAAAAACGATATAGCTCTCATGAAACTTTCGGCGCCAGTAAGATTCAACAGATATGTTCGACCATTATGTTTACCATCAGAGTTAACGGCCGGGCGAGACTTTACTTCTGGACCATCACCTGGTACAATTTGCACTACAGTCGGATGGGGTGCTACAATAGAACATGGAGCTGACCGTAAGTGTTAAATTTATTACATAGTAAGTAAGGTTAAAGATTTTTTATTTGATGGTTTATTTCTTTTCATTATTTATCCAATCATGTTTACGATGATAAGTAAAATTCTTCTTCTTTAAGTTCCATCTTCTCTAAAAAGTTCTGCACTACTGCATTCAAACCATTCCCTTAAGTTCTTAAGCCAGGATATTCTTCGTCTTCCCACATTTCGCTTTCCTCGGATTTTGCCCTGCATAATAAGTTGTAATAATGCGTATTTTTGCCCTCTCATTACATGTCCCAAGTACTCAAGTTTTCGTCTTTTAATAGTTAATATTATTTCCGCCTCATTTCCTATCCTTCTAGTTACTTCCATGTTTGACAATCTTTGAATCCATGATATTCGTAGGATTCTTCTGTAACACCAAAATTCAAAGGCGGCCAGCTTATTCAGATGAACTTGTTTTAGTGTCCAAGTTTCCAGACCATAAAGAAGAGAAGAGAGCACGTAACATCGAAGTATTCTCAGGCGTAGTTCTAACCTTATATCCCGACAACAAAGAAACTTTTTAAGTTTAATAAATGATGTACGTGCTATTTCAATACGTGTCTTAATTTCTTTGGTTTGGTCTACATCTGATGTTATCCATGTTCCTAAATATTTATAGTTATTAACATTCTCAATTGCAGTATCTTCAATAGTCAATTGGATATTTGCATGTGCAGATTTAGTCATGATCATGCATTTAGTTTTCTTTAAATTTATCTTCAGTCCGTACTCATGACAGCGTTCATTAAGGCATTGCATTAGGTTCTGTAAATCATTGTTGTTATCCGTATTTATTACTGTATCGTCTGCAAAACGTAAGTTATTCAAAACTTCTCCATTGATAGATATACCTTCTATTGAGTCTGAGAGCGCTTCTTGAAATAGCGCTTCACTGTAGACATTGAAAAGTATTGGGGACAGCACGCAACCCTGGTGGACTCCTCTTTGTATTTTGATATTTTCGGTGTACTGGCTGTCAACTCTTACCTTGGCAGTTTGATTCCAATATAAATTAGATATAATTTTCAGATCACGACTGTCAATATTTTTGCTTTTTAATATATCTACAAGCTTTTTATGTTGAACTTTATCAAATGCCTTTTCAAAGTCTACAAAACATAAGTACATATCCTGATTCATGTCCATGCATCTCTGAGCCAGCACATTCAAACCGAACAAAGCATCTCTTGTACTCATACCATTTCTAAAGCCAAATTGTGTGTCACTAATCTCATATTCAAGAGTTTTAACAATTCTGCTGTGAATTATTTTCAAAAATGTTTTAAGTGTGTGACTTATTAAAGCTATTGTTCTGTTGTCTAAACAAGTTGTTGAACTTGGTTTTTTGGGAATTGCTACAAAGGTTGATTGCAGCCATTGTCTGGGGATTGTGGCAGTCTGATATATTAGATTAAAGAGTTCAACCATTACATCAATAACATCTTCATCGATTAGTTTTAATAATTCCATGGGCACCTCATCTGGTCCAGTAGTTTTACCCTCTTTTGTGTTTTTGATAGCATAGATGACTTCTTCTCTTAATATTGGTGGTCCAGTATCCTCGGTGATTTCTAATGACAGTTCTTCTCTTTCATCATTAAATAGTTGTTGAATGTAATTGGTCCAGTGACATAATCTCTCCTTCATATCAGTAATAATATCCCCTTTATCATTTTTAAGGATATTCGTTTTTGTACGCTTTCTAGAACCTGTCATTTCTTTGATTTTTTTGTGTAAATTAAAGCTATCGTACTTTTTATCCAGATCTTCTATTTCCTTGCATCTATCGGAGAGCCACCTCTCTTTTGCTTTATGTTTTCTTCGTTCTTCCATGAGTTCAAGAATTTCTACTGTCATCCAAGGTTTTGTTTTTTCTTTAAGTGGTTTGAGGGTTTCTTTTCCAACTGACACAAGGGCATATTGAATTTTTCACAATTAAAATTGGACTGAGGTTATTTTATCATCATCATTATCAATGGCGTTACAACTCTTCTTAAGTATCTGCAACGTTTACCATTGTCTTTTATGTTTGTTTGTCCTGTGCCATTATCTTCTATTATCTCCACACCCACCTAAATTGTAACAATAGAACTCAAACTAATGTTCTTCTTCTTCTTCTTATAACATAATCTCCTTTTAAACTTTGGCGATCAAAATAATAATTAAAGCTTTCGAAACTGCTCCACGAAAGATTTCTGTGGATGAGCAGTCAAACCATCTCCTCAGGTCTTTAAGCCACCAGTTCTGGTGTCTTTCAACTGATCTTTCGCCCTGAACTTTACCTTCCAATATGATACTCAACACATGACCCAAGTATTGTAATTTTCTCTCTTTAATTATGCTGAGTAGTTTTTTTGTATCGATGGAGTTTGCAGCATCCGTTTTATATACACATTTCAAAGGCATCTATTATATTTTCTGTTTCAGAGTTTATTGTCAAACTTTCACAGCCATACAGCAAAACAGAGAAAACCTAACATTTGATCATTCGAATTCTGAGCTCTAGACTAAGCTCTAGTTCTTGTGCGTTGCTTGCTATTCGGATGGTATCATCAGCGTACCTGTCTATCCTGGTGATGTTAATCTTGATTCCTCTTTAAGCCTCGTCTTATATTTTTTTCAATATAGATTCTGAATACAGATTAAATAATAGTGGTGATAAGACTCAACCTAGTCGAACTCCTCATCGGATTCGTATATCTTTGGATGTTGTGTGTTCTATTTCAATTGTTCTCGTTTGGTGCCAATATAGTTTTGAAAGATTTCGAAGTCGTGTTCGTCAATTCCAGTTGTTCATGTTCATCTAATTGGTTCTTGTTCGCCATACTTTAAAAAATTTTAAGGTGAATATCAACGAAATGGATAATTCATATCAATGATAAATATCACCATGGAGGAGAAAGTGCGAAGGAATGGGCATACCAGTAAGAGACGAATATCCATACACCTTAAGTTTTGCCGACGATCAAGTAGTCATCGCACAAGATGAAGAAGATCTCAGCTTTATGCTCAGAAAACTAGAAGAAGAATATAAAAACAACGAAATGGAAATAAACTTAAAAAAAACCGAATACCTAACAACAGAAAACAAGGATATGAGAAACCTAGAAATAGACGAGGGACGACAAGTAAATGGAACAGATAAATTCAAGTATTTAGGAACCATAATATCAAACCAGGGAACAAGAAACTGTATAAGACAACTAAATTCAGTGCTGTGGGATAAGAATATTACGATAAAGATAAAAAAGAGAATATATAATACCCTGACAAGAAGTATCCTGACATGTGGGTCCGAAATCTGGACAATAAACAAAAGAAATAGAGGTAGAATAAGAGCAGTAGAAATGGAGTTCCTGAGGAAAAGCTGTAGACTTACAAAAAGAGACAGAATTGAAAACGCAGAGATTAAGCGGAAAATGGGAGTGCAATCAGACATAATCGACTATATAGAGGAGAAGAGACTATCCTGGTACGGCCACGTTAGAAGAGCGGACAGAGGACGCTGGATAAACAAAATCACAGAATGGAGCCCGATCGAAGAAGAAAGAGAGGAAGACCCCGAAGGTCATTCAGAGACGAAATCGACGAGGCTATGGAGAAAAGAACCCTGCGAGATGGAGACTGGAATGACAGGGAAAATTGGAGAAAACGGTTGAGTGAAGTAAGACAGTGAAAACTGTGGAAATCCTTAGTAATAGTAGTAGTATCAACGAAATGCCAAAATATTTCTTATATCGCGACAAGTCCTAATTTAATACACAACGTGTATGTATTGCTTTAGTTTACATTCTATGAGAATAACAAGACGTTTTTTTCAGCTGACCATGTGCGAGAAGTGGAAGTTCCGATTCTGAATCTTTGTAAACATCGGGACGACCGGGAAGGCGATGAAATATGCGCCGGATTATCAGAAGGTGGTAAAGACGCTTGCCAGGGCGATAGCGGTGGTCCGTTGATGTGTAGAAATCCCAATAATCCCAACCAGTGGTATTTAGCCGGGATTGTTAGTCATGGAGAAGGATGTGCTCGGCCCGATGAACCGGGAGTTTATACGAAAGTTGGGAAGTATGTCGGATGGATAGCGGAAAATATGGGTAAGTTCGTGTTTTAAAATATGTACCTGAATTCTAAATATCTTCTAATTATTTTACTTTGTACTATGCCAATGCCTAGAAGGATAAACAATTATTATTTTCATTATTTCTATTTTTTTTAGATACTTTCTCTAATCTGTATTTTTCTGCTGTACATCTCCAGAAATTCATTTCTGTGATCTCAAGTTTCCTCTTAAATCCTTAATTTAGAGGTCAGACTTCGTTACTATAAGCCATTACATTTTCGACAATTATTGTGTCATATATTTTAAAAGAACATTTATGCCTTAAGAGATTTGCTGTCCTGCTTTATCGCAGTATATTCGTACATTGAATACACCGTACAACATATTGAAAAACTGATTCAAACTCTAATAATTCAAAATTCATGCACACATCACTTTTTTACGTTTAGATTTTATCTTTTATCAGAAAGAAAAAACAACAAAAAAAGAAAAAAAAAGAAAATATGTATATATATATATATATATATATATATATATATATATATATATATATATATATTATTGTGATATTTAAAGTCTAAAGAAAAAAAAAGAAAATATGTATATATATATATATATATATATATATATATATATATATATATATATATATATATATATATTATTGTGATATTTAAAGTCTTGGTGCGCCAAGCTAATTAGCCAATTAATTAATTAATTAATTAAAATTATTTAAATGATATGATTATGACTCTATCACACTTTTTAATTCTCTTATCTCAGGGTTAAATTCGTGCTTCAATATCTATGCTATTACATGTGAAAGGTAAGGTCCAAAGAATACCGGAATAATAAACAACACATATGATATAACACTATATATTGAAATAAAATAATGAAATAATTCACACTCAAATGTTTCCAATAAACAAAATCTCATATAATGATTCTCAAAATTTTGTTCTACGTACGTGAACCTTCAAAATTAATGGTACAAACAATATTAATTGAAATCTCAAAATCCCAAATTATTCTAACTCTCCTAATCCAAATATTTATATCCTTTCTAAATTAAGTGTAAAAATTGTGTTATCAATAAAAAAAAACTGCAGAAAACAAAAATATCTCTCTCTGATGATGAGTGGTCCAAATCCTTGTTCCTTGTAGACTATATTATCTACTCTCAGGCGTTCCCTAGGTAATCAGCAATCTTACAATAAATTATTGCAAGTTTATCGTCCTTAATAATCTCCTTCAAATGCACGAATCGTTCAAATTATGCTAGCTTCTTCTTCTCTCAATAAACTGAATCTCTTGTTGGCCTGAGTGAAAAATGACTCTTGGAATATCTTTTCTTTACGATAAACTGAATCTCTCGTTGGCCTGAACAGTGACTCTTGGAATATAAGTAGAAAAATATGACTTACAATCTTTTACTGGATCAGCTTCTGTCAGATACACTAACTACACGAAAACTCACAAACTTTCACTGCTACTGCTTCCTACCTCTGGGAAACTACCCGAGAAACAAACGGCCGTTCGCCTTGCACCCTTGAAAACCAACTGATTATCTTTTCTCTCTCAAATATCTAGCTAAACTTTCATTCCTACATACCTATCCCACCTTTTTCAATCTCCGCCAATCAAAGCTCGTCACAATTCCCCCATTTTTTCATTTCGATAACAAACAAATTTTTACCTATAATTATAAAATTTACTAAAACTTATTTACAAATAATATTTTTCTACAATTCTTAAAAACTAACAAAACCCTCTTTCTAAAATCTATTCTATTGTCCTTAATCAATGCATTAATGTATTTGGAAAACCCGGTTCAATTGTCTTTGGATTTCACTTAAAATTATGCGGGTCACTCAAGTATAACAAAGAAATAATTTATGCATAGCTTACATTTTGTTTAATACAGGTAATCCAAAAATTTAAAGACTTTCCTTCTTCGAAATGTTTGTTGGGTATTATCCTACTTATCTGAATTATTTTAATGTTTTTGAACTTTGAAATATTTTAAACTAACCAATATTTTTCTCGATTTTACATATCATAACAATATATATATATATATATATATATATATATATATATATATATATATATATATATAGACAGCCGATATATTCGAATTATATGCAATCTATATTGGAATCAAACAGCAAATGTCAAGGTTGAGGGCAGACTAACAGAAGAAATTCAAATCCGTTGAGGAGTCCGGCAGGGATGTATGTTATCGCCACTTTTATTTAATGTGTATAGTGAAGCTATCTGTGAACAAGCACTCGAGGAAGAAGATCTTGGTCTGATAATAAATGGTGAGACGATCAACAATATAAGGTATGCTGACGATACAGTTCTCCTAACGGGAACGCTAGTAGAACTACAATATCTCGTTCAAAGTCTCAATATATACTGTAACAGTTACATCTTGAAAATTAATTTGAAAAAAACTAAATTTATGGTAATCACGAAATCAAAGAACATCAGAGCTAATCTTGTAATAGACAATACAACGATTGAGCGTGTGCCCTGTTATAAATATCTAGGTGCTTGGATCACAGACGATACTGATCAAACAAAAGAGATTAGATGTAAAATAGAAATCGCTAGATCAGTCTTTAATAGAATGCGCAAACTCTTTTGCAATCGTGATATCAATATAAAGTTACGAATACGAATGCTGCGGTGTTATGTCTTTTCTACCCTGTTATATGGAGTTGAGGCTTGGACACTAAAACAGTTGACCATAAAAAACATTGAAGCTTTCGAGATGTGGTGCTATAGGCGCATTCTCAGAATTTCATGGATGGACCGCGTCACTAACACGCAAGTACTCCAAACTTTAGACAAAAGATGCGAACTTCTAAATGAGATAAAAACTAGAAAGATGAAATACTTGGGGCACATTGTGAGAGGTGAAAAGTACGAACTTTTAAGAAACATCATGCAGGGCAAAATTAAGGGCAAATGGGCAAAAGAAGTGTGGGAAGAAGAAAAATATCGTTTCTTCGTAATCTACGTGAATGGTTCGGGTGTAGTTCGATTGAACTTTTTAGGCGCGCTGCTAACAAAGTCGCAGTGGCCATGATGATTTCCAATCTCCGCTAGGAGTGGCACGAGAAGAAGAAGAAAGGAACCATATCGAAGGTTCAAGTCACAAATATTTAAACATTCGTAATATTTTTAGTAAGATTACTGAGTAAGACCTGTAACGTTAACTGCCGCAACTGATGCAATCGCGAATTGTCGTTACTTATGCTCATACTTCATTACTCACGCTCACGCCCGGTCACATTTACGCCGGAGAACCATCGTAAATCGCGGTATTTCAATAAATATTTTAAATCAATAACATTTTATCATATCTAAAAAGTTACTACGATATTTAGCGTCATAATTTTATAATATTTTTTTGTCATTATGATACATATGTACACATTTATTACACATTTTGTGGTCACAGCTTATTTAGATTTATTTGGTGTTTTTTTTCTGCAATTCTTAGACCCTTTCTAACCTTCCCTACAAATTACATTAAATTTTAAGTTACTTTTATGTACACTTTATTGTTTAGGAGATGAAAAATTTATTCCAAGATTCCCATTACAACATTGTCCAGGTTACATATGTAGGTCTTCCAATAAATGCTTGCCCAAAAAACATCACTGCGACAAAATTGTAGATTGTCTCTTTGGAGATGATGAGACCGAGTGCGTGACCTCATTCCAAAACTTGTTTAAGAATGCCAGAAACAGCGAGGATAACAGTGTTCATACAATTGAAGATGATTTACTAGCTGACATTATTGTGGTATCGGACAATTCAACAGAGACAACAGCAGATGCACAAGAGAACGGTGGAAATAATAATACAAAGACTATTAGTCCAAATGGACATCAAGATCACAAAAACAATACGATTGTAGATGAAACATATTTTAAATGTGAAAGGTATGATTTTTTTTAAATATACTCCTTCTACTTTTTCTTCATTTTTTTGTTTATAACAGGATTTAGGCATTTGTAGTACTAAGTCCATTTTGACATTCAAACTAACTCCAGCCACTCGCTTTTACATATTACTAAAATCTAGCCAGGTTTTATTGTCCTTATTAAATTTATCAGTGTTATAGTGTTCTCTCTCTTTAGTCCTGACCCCCAGAGGGAGAGTAGTGCTCATCATGATGTAGTGTATTATCCTTCTCCAAAGATCTCTGTCTCTGGCCATTTCTTTTAACTCAAGCATAGATCTTTTACTTATTACTGTAATTTGATCGATCTATCTTGTTGGGATCTTCCTCGTGATCCTCGTCCTTCTAGCTTTCCTTGGATAATAAGTCTTTCCATGTTTTTAGCATCTGTACTCATAACATGTACAAAGTATTATGGTTATTGGAGATGGATTTTGCTGAAGAATAATTTGATGACCTTTTTAAAATTGAATTATTTGTTCTGTGGTCGGCCCACGGAATTCGTTACATTCTTCTCCAACAGAAAATTTGAGTGAAGTCTATCTTTCTTCTTTTTGCTTGTCGTAGGCTCTAAGATTTACATCCGTATGTCAGTATTAGGAATATTATGCAATTGATTGATCTCATTTTTAGAGTCCTTCTATATTTTGGTCATCTTTCCTACGGTGACTTTTGCTAGATCACATCTACATTTTATTTCTTTCTGTAGCGACCCTGTGTTTGGTTCCAGATAAGTATGAGCTAACAACTTCAAACCGGTCAATCGTGGTTATGACTAGATAATTGAAGTCTCTCTACTATCATGACCTTTGTCTTTGATATGTTTAACTGCAGACAAAATATTTGACTTTCATTTTCAATCAGTCCTATGAGATCAATTAACTCTTTTTGACTATTTGCAAGAACAGCTGGATCATTTACAAAACGTAGGTTTTGAGATGCCCATTTATTGAGATACCCTTTTCTCATCCTTCAAGAACTTTTCTCATAATATACTTCCCATATATGTTAAATAATTGTGGAGACAGTATACATCTGTGTCTGACACATTATTCTGGATGAAACTCATTTGAGAGTATTTCAAGTACTTTAACTGATCTAGTAGTTCCAGTATAGTTACAGCTTCTAATTTATAAGTTTAAATGTTTTATTGGGTTTTCTATTTCTCCTATATCATTCTATTCTCTATTCTATTCTTTATTCTATTTTCTATTCTATTCTCTATTCTATTCTCTATTCTATTCTCTATTCTATTCTCTATTCTATTCTCTATTCTATTCTCTATCCTATTCCCTATTCTATTCTCTTTTCTATTCTCTATTCTATTCTCTATTCTATTCCCTATTCTATTCTCTATTCTATTCTCTATTCTATTCTCTATTCTATTCTCTATTCTATTCTCTATTCTATTCTCTATTCTATTCTCTATTCTATTCTCTATTCTATTCTCTATTCTATTCTCTATTCTATTCTCTATTCTCTTCTCTATTCTATTCTCTATTCTATTCTCTATTCTATTCTCTATTCTATTCTCTATTCTATTCTCTATTCTATTCTCTATTCTATTCTCTATTCTATTATTTATTCTATTCTCTATTCTATTCTCTATTCTATTCTTTATTTTATTCTCTATTCTATTCTCTATTCTATTCTCTATTCTATACTCTATTCTATTCTCTATTCTATTCTCTATTCTATTCTCTATTCTATTCTCTATTCTATTCTCTATTCTATTCTCTATTCTATTCTCTATTCTCACTATATTAGTCGATCCACTTTTTATCCGTGAATGGATGTTTCTGTTTTCTGAAAATTATATTTGTATATATTCAATCTTGTATCCGATATTACGTCTCCTTGTCTCACTCCTGTCTTAATGGGGATGGGATTTGTATTTTCGTCTAGTTGTACTATCATAGTTGCGTTTTCATATATATTATGTATTAGTTGCCTATATCTCGAATCTATTTTACAATTATTAATACCTTGTTCTATGGCCCACATCTCGATACTATCAAATGGCTTTTCTTAGTCGACGAAGGCAAGAAATACGGGTAGTTGGTATTCATTTGCCTTCTCTATCAATGTTCATATTGTCAGCAGATCGTCTGATTTACTATATCCTTTGCGGAAGCCAGCCTGTTCAACCGGTTGGTAATTGTCCATTTTGTAGGTCAACCGTTTGTTAATAGTTCTAATAAATAGTTTGTATACTTGACTGAGCAACGACATAGGTCTATAATTCTGTAGATCACATTTGTCCCCTTTTTTGTGTAAGAGTATTACTAGACTCTCGTTCCAGTCTTTAGGGATCTGGCTATTATGGAGACATCTATTAAATAGCTCTGTTAGTACAGGGATTGTTAATGTCTTACTTGTTTTTAAGAGCTCGGCGATTATACCGTCGTGTCCTGGAGCTTTATAATTTTTTAGCTCTTTTAAAGCTCTTTCTATTTCGAATTGAATCGAATCGAAAAATAGACAGTTAACTAAGGTTTAATTTCGTAACGTTTTAGCCTTCTACAACTAATTCCCTTCCATAAAAAGTGTAATAAAATTGTAGACTGTGAGGATGGGACTGACGAGTCTAACTGCAAATGTGTTGATTATGTCAGATCACACAATCCAAAAGCCGTTTGTGACGGAATAACTGATTGTCACGACTTATCTGATGAAGAATGTGGTAAGTAGTTCAATCCTTTATACGACAGAATTCTACGATTAGAACAGAAAAATAAAAGAATTTTAACAGTTCAGGATTAAAATTATTGGATTTATTTTCCCTAGATATTCCAAATATTAGCTAGTTTCGCTGTATCTAAGCAAAATCTCATACTTTTTCTTTTTTTGCAGTAACATGTTTAGAAAGTGAGTATTACTGCCGCCTTAGTCAAAAATGCATAAAAATTACACAACGCTGTGACGGTATGTCAGATTGTTCCAAAGGAGAAGATGAATGGGATTGTGGTAAGGAATTTTATATAAATTATTAATTAGGCCATTTGTAATTTGTAATATTTTAATATTGTTCTGAAGCTATTTTCTTGTGTAATTTTTCTATTATTTACTATCTTTAATGCGAGTTAACCACAATTTCAACAGAAAATACGTTTATTTAAAAAAATACCTAAAGTATCTCTCACTACAGTTCCTTTTCTAATCGCAAAACTCATTATTCAATGTCCATTATAATTTATAATCTATACTTAGAATAGGATATCTATATTAGTTACTATGTTCAAGTACATAAATTTCGCTGAAGGAAGATAGAGTTGAAGGAAATAGCTTGTCCTTGAAAAAAGTTTTAGCAAGTTTTCATTTTCTCCCATTTAATCTTTCACAATTCTGTAGAGAGAACTCATACTTCCAGTTCACACGTACACCTCTTAAAGCCTTTACGTACACCTGCAAAAGCTTCAAAGATTCACCACAACGTTCAGTCTTACGAAAACAATATTTCTTATGAAAAGTTTGTCATACTCCCTCAAGTTTGTCACGGTTGCATTCCTTTTAGCAAGTGTTGTACCTGAAAATTTTAGTGTATTGTTTGACTCTACGTTTGTTAACATATTCGCTTGTTGAATGATCCTTTCTACTATACGTAAAGATACTCCAGTAGCTTCATTCACGCGTTGTTTATCACTGGTTCGATTATCTTCAGGAAATAGTATTTGCATATATTTAAATACATTGTAAACTATTGTTTTGGATTCTGGTATCAATCTGATCTGTTTACTCGCACTACACTTAACTATCTCCATTTTACAAAATAGTTCTAATACGCGTGGTAGTACCTTTCTTGTTGAGACTCGACAATATAATAAGACTAAATTACAAACTCATTTGAAATCCAGTGTTTAGAAATTCTGGGAAATAATTCTTATCAGTTCTTTGTATGTCCTTAACGAGTCGTTAAGGAGTCATTAATAATGACTTTAAAATTACGGTTTTAAGGTAACTGATACTAAAGTAGAAATTAACTTTTGCCAAACTTTATAGAGTATCAATTATTAAAGATACTATTATAACAAACAAAAAGTTTATAAGTGATTAATAATTTTGTAATTAGTGTGATTTTAAATAATTTAATTTGTTTAATATTGCAACGCCACTGCATGGGTCTGATCATAGATATTCTATTGTCTGCACGCTTAACTATTTCAAGAAGGGTTCGCCACTCGATTTGAAGTAAGCTGTAATAATAATTTTATTTGTCAAGAGTTATGACAATGATTACAGCTTATATTACATTTAAAATGATAGTATATTGCTTTTATCGTTCATGATGTGTACTAAAATTAGTAGGAACAGTATAAGAACACTTGATATAAGTAATCAGATGAAATATTGTTCACCTTGGGCACAATAAAATGTGGTCAAAGTAATAAACGATGACAAAATTTCCTACGCAAATGAAAATTGCCAATAAATCACTCAACTTTTTGAACCAGTTGAACAGTCGAATGTCAAAAGTGGTAAAACCTGTAATTGCGTCCGTAACAGAAATTAACGACATTAATTTTTCTTGCAAACTTGCAAATATATCAACCGTAATAACTACATGTCTGACAGTATAATCGAACCATAAATTCTTGCTCCATCACTTTCTGTTTAAGTAATTTTACAATGTAATCTTTCGGTAATTTTTCCTTTCAGTTACCCGTATGAATGGCCGCAGATTAACTTCTGACAATGATTTATTCTTGTAGTTGGCAGTGATATGTGTAATCACCGAGAAATTAAAAGAATTTGTTTTATTCCTGTGCAAAACTTATTCTTGGTCCAAGAATTTATTTTAAAACGAGGTGGTATTTGTTTATACGGGGGACTGCTAGAAATTAAAGACCAGACAAATAAAAACTGCTTTCATAGAGGGATTTAACAGCATATCAAGTGCTAGAATAAAAATTTTAAGAAAAAATTAATTGAATATTAAATATTACTATTTGTAGAGATACATACATCTAAACTCTGGAAATCGCTTATACTATACAGGGAGAATAGACGAAACATATCGTGGAGTAGGATTTCTTGTCAAAACGTATCTCACACCATACATTTCTACATATAAAAACGTTTCTGATAGAGTAGCTTATATTATAATACACCTAGATAATAAAACCAAGATCAAGGTTATACAAGTATATGCTCCCACAACAACACATCAGAAAGAGGTAGTTGAAATGTTCTACAAAGATTTGATAACAGCATTAGAAGAAAATGATACAAAGTATACCTTCATTATGGGAGATTTCAACGCAAAATTATGTGATTACTGTCAAGTCAATATTACTGTTAAACATCTCCTAACAGAATGTGGAAAATATACAGTTAACAGACAAAATAACAATATTTCCAGTGACTTAAAAACAGTATTAGGTGAACATTTAAATACTAAAAACTCAATTAGATTTCTAAAAGAAACATCTTTATATAATTTAATATAACGTAGTAACTAATGTAAACTAATGTCGCTAATGACCCAGGTGGTTGAAGCGACTATTATTAGTCATTAAAAAAAAACGCAAAATTAGGTAAAAAAAGAAAATACTGAAACCAAAATAAGGATGCATGGTTATCGAACACGAATTGAAAGAAATGAAAAATTATAAAACTTCTTAGAACAACAAGATGTATATGCCATGAACACACACTTCAAGAAACCAGCAAACCGAAAATAGACGTGGATATCTCCGGATTAAGAAAACGAAAAACGAGATCGATTACTTCTTTTGTGGAAACAAAGACATTTTTGAAGATATTACTACTCTCAATCAATTCACAACTGGCAGCGATCATCGCCTTTTAAGAGCAAGGATTCTTATTAAACAGACGAAAACCAATAGAAACAGGCCACATAATTATTGTAATCAGATAGATCAAACTAAAATACAACAGAAGGGAGATGGGTACAGAAAAGTCTTAAGAAAAGAATTTGTAGAACATTATCAACAAGAATATTCCTACATAAACATAATTAATAAAGAAATGCAACGAAAGCTCTTGAAAGCATGACTGACTGTTGCAAAAAAAAAACGAAAAATAAAGGCCGAATAAGTGAAGGAACAAAACGGTTAATGGAAAAGAGATGCACATATCGAAGCGAAGGACAGCGAAACATCAATGGTTTCAAAGAATTGAATAAACAAATAAAGTAGGAAGTAAAGGATAATTTAAGGATGTATAATGAAAACAAGGTAGAAAAAATAATAGAAAAGAACCGATGCCTGAAATGCTTAAGATCAAACTTGGGAAAGCTTATAATAATCTCATTGAAGGATAAAGATGAAAAAGAAATAAGAGAAAAGAATGAAATCCTAAAAGTTACTCAAACATTTTACCGTGGTTTATATTCCTCAAACAACAGCCCAGATTACACTACAAAAGAAGATCTTGAGAGAAAGATAACGAATGTCAACTCAGAAATACTCCCTAACATAGAATCCTTCGAAATAAAACAAGCTATGGCACAACTAAAGAACAATAAGGCTCCGTGCCCAGATGGAATACTTGTAGAAATGTTGAAGGAGGGGAGTAAAATTATTCTCGAAGAATTGAAAAATTTTTTCAACGAATGTCTTCACAGAGAAGTCCCAGATGATTGAAATGAAAGTTTGACAATACATCTTTTCAAAAAGGGAGACAATAGAGATCTGAAGAACTATAGGCCAATCTCGCTACTGTCCCAAACGTACAAACTGTTTATGAGAGTAATAACTAACAGGTTAACGTCGAAGCTCGATAGCTCGATAGAACATTGGGCAGTAGAGAGAGCTGTGAACAACTGCAGGATAGACTCCCGATACAGAATGCTCATACATAATATTTACAAGAAATCTACAATGAAAATACAAATAGATGCGAAAACCAAAGCTATGCCAATCAACATAGGAGTTCGCCAGGGAAATGTTATCTCACCAAAGCTATTCACACATGGACTGGAAGACGTGTTCAAAGACATTAACTGGGCAGATAAATGTTAATGGAAAAAAACTGAGTCATTTAAAATACGTTGATGATATTGGAAAAAACAAAAATAATGACAAATACAACGAACATTAGAGAAATAACGGGAATGACAGATAATGAAAGTTAACAAAGAAAATCAAACTGCCGGAATTATGCCGATTTCGAAAACTGAGTTGGTTCTTGAAAAGCACTAAAATAGAACAATATTTGAAAACCAGAATTTACGATCAGGTTATCCTCAATATACTCACGTATGGTTCACAGACGTGGACACTCACCAAGTCAAGTATGGATAAAATAGTAAAAGCACAAAGAGCGAGGGAAAGATCATAACTCACAGTGATACTTATAGACAAAAAAGCAATCAAATGGATTAGAAGCAAAACCAGAGTAAAAGTCGCAGGAAAACATGCTGCCAAATTAAAATAAAGCTTCACAGGACACAATGCCCGACTGAAGGATAAGAGATGGAACCACGAAATACAACAATAAAAACCATGGTTAGAAAAGAGAAGCAGAGGAAGGTCACAAATGAGATGGCCGGATGATATTAAGAAGATCGGAGGACGCAACTTTAAGCAAGTGGCGCAAAATAGAAGACACTGGATTGATTTGGGGGGAAGGCCTATATCCAAAGTTGGATTACTTAAGGCTGAAAAAGAAGAAGTAGAGATAAGTTTTAAAAAAAGTTGTGTGTTAAAAAGTTTACTACGTTATATGTATTACAAAGTAGTAATATTGACTATATTGACACGGACAAATTAACTTATCAGGGATTCATACAATATACGCCACGAATAAACCCAGAAAACTGAACAACCCACTGGACGAAACGAATATTACGACCTGACAAGAACAAGGAAAATGCGGTTGAACTATGAAGATCCGAAAGACACCTGACATAGATAGAGTCATGCCTGAGACAGTAAAACTCGTCGCACTAAGATACACGCAGGTTTTTCTGAGATTGCTAAACAAACTGCTTGAACAACAACAGTTTCGAACATTGAAATACGCTAAAGTTTTCTTTATCCCGATAGGTAGAGGTGAAGAGGAAGTGGTGCGATTTCGGCAAATTTACCTTCTTAGTTCGGTAGCTAAATTATACAAACAGCTTGTGAAAAGCCGTTTTGAGCAAGAGATGGAAGAAAATTAGGCGCTGAGCGACCGTCAATATGGTTTTAGGGCCAAAAGATCTACCATAGATGCGGTCACAGAAGTAAGCTCTTTATTTACGCAGGATACAAAAAGATGAGTGACTCTTATCCTTCTTGATGCCAAGAATACCTTTAACACAGCATCATGGAAAAAAATCATTTCTAGCCTGAGAGAATTGGATTTTGGTGAAAATCTGGTCAACGTAATTGACAGATACTTTACTGGCAGGTCCATGAGAGAAAAAGATACCAGCATCAGTTTGTCGCAGGGTTCAGCACTAGGTCCCATCCTGTGGAGTGTCCTGTACGATGGGGTGTTGAGGCTACAGATACCAAGGGGATGCACTCTTGCAGCTTATGCCGATTATCTCGCACCGGTTGCAAAGGTGAGTCAGAAAACGGATATTACTAATACGGCTACCACAGCCCTGCGTCGCATTAGTAGGTGGATCAGAGAGAACGATCCACAGCTAGTGCCTCAGAAAACTGAGGTGTTAGTTCTCAAAGCTACCCGGGAAACATCCTCTCTTCACTTAATAGTGGAAGGTGTGGAGGTTGCATTGGTTAAATCAATTAAATATCTGGGAGTCTGGTTGTCGAAAGGTCTAAGGTTCGGAGTACACATTCAAAAGACAGTAAAGAAGGCGAATCGAAATCTGGAGGCGTTGATACGGCTGATGCCAAACATAGAAGGTCTAGGAAGCACCAAAAGAAACGTGCTAAATGGAGTTTTCCAGTCGGTAGTAACCTACGCTGCCTTTGTGTGGTGTAGTGTACTAAACATTGCGAAATACGCTAAGCTGATGGAAACTTCGCAAAGGCGAATGCTCCTCAGGGTATCTAGCGCATATAAGACAGTCTTGAATGAGGCTCTAAGTGCCATTAGAGCGGTGATACTGATCGTTTTGTTGTGTAAAGAGCGAGCGAGGATGTATGCAAGGAGTATGGATGTAAATATACAGGAGAATGAGAGAGAAAGAACGATAGTAGAGTGGCAGAGAGAATGGGCGAATGATAGTGGAACAGCAAGGTGGACGCAGGAGCTTATTCCCGATCTAAGACCGTAGTGGGAATGTAAGTTCAGGAAACTAGACTACTTCCTGACGCAGTTTCTGACCGAACTTCAGATTTTGGTTGATCGCACTACGCAGTACTGCAAGAGATATGGAATGGAAGATTGAGGACGTAACTAAATTTACGTTAAAGGAAAAGTAAAAAAAGTAACCAGAAAAAGTACCCAAATACAATTACTTGGGATTTGAGCTAAATAAACAATGGGACTGCAGCTTTGAAATAAAATGACGCAGTACGATAGTCAAAAGCGCTTTCAATAAGATGAAAGCAGTGGAGTATCGGGGTGCTACGTATTATCTGCCTTTATATGGAGTTGAAGCCTGGACAATTAAGTTGAATGTTGAAAGTTGAATGTGTAAAATACCATAGATACAATACGTAACAAATACGGACGTATTTAGAAAGATGAAAAGAAGAAAAAAGATATATTTAAAACTATAAAGGAAAGAAAAATGAGCAACTTTGGTCACATACTAAGAAACGAAAAAATTTAAGCAGTGGAATGGAAAAACAGCAATAGAACTCTTCAGAACTGCTGCAGACAGAGTAAAATGGGATGTGATGATCGCCAATGTCCTTAAAGGATAAGTCACACGAAGAAGTATTCATAATGGTACAAATATAAATCTGGTAAAAGAAGTTAAGTATCTTGGAGTAATATTAAACTCCAGGGTTACTTTAAATCAGCAAATAGAAGGAATCGTAGGTAAGATTTTGAACTTACACGAAATAAAATAAAAAATGTAGTGGTACGTGTACGCAACAGTGGCAGGTAATAGATTAAACAGTGTAAGGGACAGGGAGTAGCTGTAATTAATGGTTTTGTCAACATTAAATGAAGTTTCGATTACTTGTCTTAACAATAATACCATATTATCCAGAGAAGATTTGTCGAAAACCATTTTGTTACTGTAATCTTTTGATTGCCAATTCTATTTTTTATTATAATGTCATTATAGTTTTAATATACAGCTAGAAACAGTAGTAGGTACCTCTTTAGTTAGGTACTTTTTGGGATCAAGCAAAAAAAATCAATTTCTAAACAGTTCTCATTTAATCTTAATTTCTTGTAGCAATATACTGAGACAGTACTTTAAAAAACTGGTGTCTTATTTTGTTTTATTTTTTAGTTGCTCTTACAAACGGAAAAACTATAAGTTTTGATTCGGATTCTCGGCCAGAACTCTCGATGTCTGGAATTATTTCTATTAACCACAACGGAATATGGAAACCTTACTGCCTAAACTCCACAAAGAAGGAACCGACTATCGCCAGCAATGTTTGTAATATATTAGGATTTGAAGAGTATACAACCTACAATAATATTTCAGTCGAAAATGTCCCTCTTAGTACCATTGCGATCGAAGCGTCAAATAATGTAGAAAAACTGCCAGGGATCGATAAAGAACATCACACGACAGTTGAAAACGGCACACAATCATTGAACAAATCCGCTGACGATATCAGAAATAAAACTTGTGGTGGATTGTTCGTGAGGTGCTCAAATGTTTCTCTAGATAGTTCAGTGCATAACGTTCATCCAGATAATGTGAGTGACGAGGTTGAACTTTATACGGCGCCTTGGAATGCCGTAATTTATTGTGATGGTATATATAGATGTATGGGTGCTATTCTAAATTCGCAATGGATCGTTACGTCTGTCAATTGCTTCAAGGGGATTACCGAGTAAGTTATTTTAGCGTTCTTTATTCGATTTATTTCTTTAAATATAGTGTCACCAGAGGCGGACACTTTCAAAAAGTTTTAAGACATGTTCTGAACCATTAATTGTAATATTCGTGTTTTAGTAGAAAGAAAGGAATTAAGCAAAAAAATGGGTGAAGTGATGTTATCTAAAGTTTTGTTTGTTGATAATACAAATGTTAAGTAATTCGACTTTTGTTTGCCTGAGATGTTCATTAATATTTATTCTGGATTGATCTTCTACAAAATAAAAATGACCTTCCATCTGAAAAAATTCGTTATGATGCTACAGGCTAGCTTAGGACTAGGGTAGATACCAAAAGTAAGGAGGCCCATAAGAGTAGCTTTTATAGACGAAAAAAGCTGCAGATGGATAGATCATATCTGCGAATATGTGAACTTGTTCAAAGTTCTAATATACAGGATTTTTATCTGGTGGGCACACAAGGTTATTTACTTTCCACTTTCTTGTAGATTTTCTTATGGAAAAGATACTCTAAATTGTCCTTCTTCTTTCAGTAACCTGTCCGATTATCGAACGTTGGCGATCATATGGCAATAATTACTTTGTTTACGGCGGCTCTAAATAAATTAGTGGTGATACCATTCTCGAAAATTTCGGAGCCAGGATGCTCTCCTTCGGCCTGGGCCTCTCCTTCCCGCGATCTTACCCTGTATTATGAGTTGTAGAAGGTTATACCTCTCGTTACATGAGAGTAGAAGGTTGGGTCTCATTTCTTCTTCTTAACATGCCATACACCAAAGTGCGTAGGCGATTATCTCATTACTAGAATTCTGTTCTTGGCGGCGTGACACAGCTCACCTGTATTGTGTATTCCTGACCATACTTTAATATTCCTTAACCAGGATAATTGTTTGTGACCGGCTCCTCTCCTACCTTCGATCTTCCCTTGTAGGATGAACTGTGGTATTTCATATTTTGCTCCTCTCAATATGTGCCCAAGGTAACCAATCTTGCGTTTTTTAATTAATTTAAAGAGTTCTCTTTCCACGCCGGCTCTATTAAGGGCGTCATCATTTCGAACTCTATCCACCCAAGGTATGCGCATCATTCTTCTCAATGACCACATTTCAAATGCTTCAAGTTTGTTAATAGATGTTTTTTTCAAAGTCCACGTTTCCATGCCATAAAGCAAGATGGACCATATGTAGCACTTGACCATTTTGTAGCGTATTTCGAAGTTTAGGTGTTGATTACATAGGAGCGGTCTGAATTTCACAAAAGCTTGTCTTGCCATTTGTATTCGGGTTTTTATCTCGTGTTGTGGATCCGATTGGTCATTGATTGTGGTGCCAAGGTATTTAAAAGTTTTCACGCGATTTATACGATTGTCACCAATGCATATTATCGGGTTTTCTGGAGGGTTTCTGCTAATGACCATATATTTCGTTTTCAAAATGTTGATTTTGAGGCCATATTTTTTACGTATGCTATTCACCCTATCAAGTAATAACTGCTGATCTTTCAAATTATCAGTTATAATCACTGTGTCGTCCGCATAGCGTAGGTTGCTAATTGGTATGCCGTTCACCTTAATGCCTAATTCCGTATCTTCTAGTGTTTCCGCAAATATATTTTCAGCATATAAATTAAAAAGCATCGGAGAGAGTATGCAGCCTTGGCGGACACCTTTCCGGATTTCAAATTCATCCGTATATTGGTCTTGATCAATCCTCACCTTTGCCATTTGGTTCCAGTATAGATTCTGAATAATTTTGATCTCCTTCTGGTCAATGTTGGCCCTATGTAGTAGTTCCATCATGATATCATGTTTAACATTGTCAAATGCCTTCTCGTAGTCGATGAAGGTGAGGTAGACATCTTTTCGTTGATCTAAGCAGTTTTGTATTAAGGTGTTCAAACATAAAATTGCCTCTCTTGTTCCTAGTCCTCCCTTAAAACCGAATTGTGTTGACCCGCTAAGTTCTTCTAGTATCTTGTACATTCTTGAGTGTAATATCCTAAAGAAGAGTTTCAACAAGTGACTCATTAAACTGATTAAGCGGTGTTCATTGCATTTTGTGGCATTAGCTGTTTTCGATTTCGATATTCTCCTCGTCTAGTAGTTTTATTGCTTCTATATTAATTTCATCTGGACCTGTTGCTTTATGCATCTTTGTGGTTCTCTTCTTTGTGGGTCTCATTACATGACCGAAATATTGTAACTTTCGAATTTTTATCATTTTTGTTATTTCTGTGCTCTTTTTCATTCGATGTAAAACTATTTCATTTCTTATTCGATCAACCCAACTTATTCGTTATACTCGTCGATAAATCCCCATCTCAAAGGTCTCAAATTTTTTCACTATTGTCTCTGTAAGGGTCCAGCTCTCCATACCATACAGCAATGTGTAGAATATATAGCAGCTTAATAATCTGATTTTAAGGTTTAACGTAATATCTCTATTAATTGTAAATATACAAGCGCACCTTACTAAAAAATATATTTCTTAAATTTTAGGCTTAAGTCTCACTACGTTGCTGTTCTACTAGGTAAAGGAAAAGGAACACTTCCTGTTAAAGGCCCACATGAGCAAACCTTAAGAATTGTGGAAAGTCAAAATATTCCGAAGACCGATATCGTTTTGCTTAGAACAGAAACGAAGATTGTATACAGCAGATATATTAAACATCTTCGGCTCAGTTTAAGGTATGGTTATAAAATTAGAATTATCATTTTATTCATAAATTTCATAATAACTTAATTTATGTTATGGAGCTTGCAGCAATATAATATAATATTTAGCACATAAATAAACATGATCTCGATATACTTTGACAAGATTTCGGCAGTAATTCGTTTCAACTCCTAGGAACAAAAATCGGCAACAAGACCAACAAACAAAATAGAGATCAGAGCTCAGAAAATACTTCAAAATAAATTACTCTTCTGAGCTTATAATAAAAAAAAACCAAGAATGATCTGAGGAACGACTTGTTTCGGACTCTGTATCTGTCCCAAATACTTGACCAGAAGGTGTTTCCAGGGAACAGACTCTATGTCAGTAGTAGAGAAAATACCTCTCTGGAGCTCAAATGAAGAAGATAAAAAGAGAGGCAAAAATGGCTGCTGGGACATGAACCACATCAAATTCGCATAAAACCGAAGCGAGAATACCGGCAAAAGTCAAGGGTGAAATGGATCACGTGAGTATACCTTCACCCTTCACAACAAAACATGCCTAAAGACCAAACAATCCTAACGAGCAGATACCAATGTCACAAAAGTATTCAGAATGGCGGTGGCACACAGACATCATCCTCATACTCAACTAGTTTAGGCTCAAGCATACCTGATCATCAACTTACTTGAACGAGCATATGAAAAAATGGACAACTGAGGTAGTGAGGACTATGAAGGTCTTACGGGAGGGGTAAACTTAAATACACTTGATCTCAATATTATATCCAAGCGCTGCATGGTACTCGTCTGCATCTCCGAGAAAGTGGTTGATGAAGCAACTATCAGGACCCGTCTAAACAAGCAGAATCGTTGAAAAATTAGAAGTTAGAGGGGGGCAAATCCTAGTCTACATAATCGACGGGGTCAACTATTAAAAGTATCCTTCAAAACCATCAGAAATCTGTAGGTGAACCCCCAGGACAATAGGGCATCTTCGACAGAACTTACTGTTGCTATGAGAAGAATCGATGTAGGTTTGATATAATAACTCCGGTTTTACAAAGATAAAAAAATGGTCTATCAGATATCAGAACACTGCTATCGATGAATATTTGTTCCAGAGATTTATTGACGGTAAAGATAAAGATCATAGAGGCAAGAAGTATAGAAAATCATTTTTGGATCAACTTACCTCCCGTATAATAATTCCTACCTTGAATAATCATCCGATGGTGATGCGAATGACCTAGGGAGTACAAACACCAGTAAAAGAAATAAGTCATTAATATAGTGGTGTCATCGACACATCTGTTTAGAAATAACAGGTTATGAGCCTCTTAAGAAAATTTATCGTAACCGATGACGCCTTCAGCCCAAAATACACACCAAATAGTGACTTTTTCGGGATGCAGGACCAAGAAAGGTAACAAAGAGGATATCAAAAACTACAGATCTATATGTCTACTACCAATCATACACAATATATTCACAAAGATCATCAAAAACAGATGCCAAACGCATTAGATGCTGTACAGCCGAGAGAGCAAGCTGGCTTCATAAGTGGATTCAGTACCATAGATCATATTCATACACTTCAAGGACTAATAAGAAGAGCTTCAGAATATGAAATACCAATAGCATTAACCTTCATAGGTTTCGAGAAGGCCTTTGATTCTATATATCCCAAAGCAGTAATAGAAGCTTTGACCAACCAAGGCATTGACAAACTCTACATAGAAACTTTAGCAAATATATACAGACAAGCAAAAGCTAAGGTCAAAATTTATAAAAATACTCCAGAATTTCCCATTTCAGCAAAATTAACTGTCAGAACAAAGGAATATCGGTTGATGGAGAATATCCCAGCCATCTAAGATTTGCAGACAATATCGTTCTGATTGCTAATCACCCTGTAGAACTACAAGAACTTATAAGCGATCTAAATGCAGTTAGCAATGAAGTTGGCCTACAAATGAACTTGACAAAAACAAAAACCATGTACAACGAGCTAGTGGATGTCCAAGATTTAATAAAAACACAACAATTGATGGATTCGACCGTTACTTGATGGAAATTCATTTTATGTAACAATAAAACACTGAAACCTTTGTTTTCAAACTTCCACAAAATTTATTTTAACTATTATCACTACAGTTGTTTCGGCTGATAGCCTTTCTCAAGTGATCTATTTTTGGCATGCGTTTACAATTTATAGTCTCTAATGAAATAGGTTGAGGAGGGGAGAACTGTTTGTCTCAAGTTGGTCATTCAGAATTATATCTGTGTTTTTTAATTTATTGATTTCCATAGATTCTAACAAAGATAGCTTAAGGCCTTTATTTTGAACGTGAAGAATTTTAAATTTGTCATTAAAAGAATGATTATGATCTAGAAGATGAAGTGCGTATGTCGAATAACAACCTAGGTAAATATATTAAAAATAACAAGAGCCAAAATAAAAAACACTTAAATAGTGGTGTGTATAAAATTCAATGTGGCGACTGCCCAAAAACTTACATCGGTCAAACTGGTAGAAACTTTGAGAAACGAATAGCAGAACATAAAAGGGCTTTCAAGAATAGAAAAACAGATTCGACATACGCACTTCACCTTCTAGATCATAATCATTCTTTTAATGACAAATTTAAAATTCTTCACGGTCAAAATAAAGGCCTTAAGCTATCTTTGTTAGAATCTATGGAAATCAATAAATTAAAAAACACAGATATAATTCTGAATGAGTTGAAAGAAAATGCAAAAAAGTATTTTTGAAGTGTGTATATTTTAGGCAATTCCTAGCTGAGCGCTTTCGGCTTTACAAAGCCATCATCAGAGCTATGGTCAATTTTTTAAAATACCACTACAAAGGAGAGATCTCATTTCCTTAAGTTTCACAATTATGATTTTGTAGGAGTTGGAATTTTTAAACATATAAAAACATATAAAAGGTCGACACTGGACGTCACAAACACGTTAAAAAATTGAAAAAATTTTTTGTCATGGTACGGGTTTAAGACCCGACCATCTATTGATGTGAGGACGTAGACTGAATAGTCTACGTAAGGTTTAAGACCCGACCATCTATTCAGTCTACGTCCTCACATCAATAGATGGTCGGGTCTTAAACCCGTACCATGACAAAAAATTTTTCAATTTTTTAACGTGTTTGTGACGTCCAGTGTCGACCTTTTATATGTTTTTATATGTTTAAAAATTCCAACTCCTACAAAATCATAATTGTGAAACTTAAGGAAATGAGATCTCTCCTTTGTAGTGGTATTTTAAAAAATTGACCATAGCTCTGATGATGGCTTTGTAAAGCCGAAAGCGCTCAGCTACGAATTGCCTAAAATATACACACTTCAAAAATACTTTTTTGCATTTTCTTTCAACTTGTCATAAGTGTGTACAAAAAATATCAGTCTTTTGATAATTCTGAATGACCAACTTGAGACAAACAGTTCTCCCCTCCTCAACCTATTTCATTAGAGACTATAAATTGTAAACGCATGCCAAAAATAGATCACTTGAGAAAGGCTATCAGCCGAAACAGCTGTAGTGATAATAGTTAAAATAAATTTTGTGGAAGTTTGAAAACAAAGTTTTCAGTGTTTTATTGTTACATAAAAACACAACACTTGAGACAGTAGACGAGAATGTATACCTGGGATAATTAATACATAAATCTGGCTCCTTACTTCCAGGAATCAACAGAAGTATGAAATTGCCTTGAGTAGTCATACTCAAATTTAAGATGGCAATCCACCTGAAGAAAAAAACGTTCGATAAACTTGGACACTAAAGAAAAAGATTGTATCGAAACTCAAAGTCACTCAAAGATCAATGGAGCGACGCATTCTAGAAATAACAAAGAAGGATCGAAAAAAAAAATGGATCATACAGAAAACCAAGGTTACTGATGTAATCGATAGAATTAAATCTCGAAGATGGCAGTGGGCTGGACATTTAGCCAGAACTGACAATAGGTGGTCCACTATAATTACACTATTCTGTGGTATCCAAGAGGCGTCAAAGACCAAGAAGACTTTTTAAGATGGAACTATGACATAAGGAAATACGCCAGTAAACATGGCACAGAACAGCAAATTTTAGACAATCGTGGGCAGCATAATAATGGGCAGCATATGGTTAATAATTGATTAAATCTTTGGCCAAATATATGGCCTAGGAGGACAATATTTGTTAAACTTCCCGTGTTCGAATCGGTATATCAATACAGTGTTATTACTTATTTCAGCATCCCTGCTTCATCAGACACTTGGGCTGATGCAAATTCAAACTCGGAAAGTTCAATGAATGTCTCCTAAAACTTAATCACCACAGTGCTTGGCATATAGAGGTGCTACCTACTTTGGTGGCCATGAACGAAAACGTGTTAATATTATAGTTTTCTGTCCTCTGGGCTACACGGAATGTAAAATATTTTTTATTTTGAAAATGACTACTGGCCTAAATTATAGTAATGAAAGAGACTCTAGCTTTAGACATGAAAATCCTGTAAACTAAAACCTCTAGACATTGATCCTTCGTTTTAAAATGCAAGAATTGTAAAAAGAAGAGGTAATATTTCTACAGAAATCATTTGAATGGTAATTACGTAAGGACAATAAAAATAATATCCATATTATTTCATATGAAAATATAGAAATACATGAAATTACAAATTCAAGAGAGGAATATTTTAGTAAAGATGCTCAGATGATCTTCTAAAATATATTGGAGTATGATAGAATTCAATTGCTTGTAAAACCCGACAAGCGAGAGCTGGCGGGTTGTGCGTAGAACAAATTGAAAAGTGGAAGGGATTGCTCATTTCTATTGCAGTCGGCTAGGAGTTCACATCGTGTATAACCGTTTAAGTACCTATAATATATACCTATAATCGCGATTAAGTACCTCTCCTATCTCTCTTAGAATAATACCTTTTCTATTTTCGCGCAGCTCACCAGCCAGCTCTCGCTTGTCGGATTATATACGTTTTCTTGTAAGTTTATTGCTCTATTATTATCAGAATATATTTAATATATAATATATTATCAAATTAGAATTATATTTTGATTATATTATGATATAATTATATTATTATGATATAATTATATTAGAATATATATAGATAAATATTTTGATGTTTATTTTTTATGCTTTTCTGTTTTTCTTTATGTTTTTACTTTTAAGGAGAGATGGTAATCGAAAAGAAAAATGTGTGGCTATTGGATTACATGACGACAAAGCCAAATATGAATTCCTATGGCCCATTCAACAATGCGAACCTGGTTTTAGGTGCTTCGAAACAAAACTGAAAACAGAATGCAAAGTAAGGCATTAAAAGTTTGTACAATTTTAATTCTAAATGATTTATTCATTTTAGGACTCACGTGCTTGGAGCGGGACAATAGTTTGCGATTCTGGCAGTGGATGGTACCCCGCAGCAGTATATTTCGAGAAAGAAGGATTATGTGGTTTGTCATCAGTTCAGAAATACACCAGTGTTCCCTATCACAAACGAGAAATGAGAATCCTCATGGGTGAGATCAAAATAATATTTTTAAGTAACATTTTTATATCTATAGTTTCTGTTTATTATTTTTATAAACCAGTTCTAAAATTCTATTTTCGTAAGGCACTTTGATAGGTAATCGGGAGAAACATTTTGAAAAAAGTGTACCAGGCGAAACAGAACTCATATACATTAAATAAGTACGAGACATAGGTTAGGGATATAGCTAAATATTAAATAAACAATAATACAAACAATTATACAACCGTATAAATCAATTAAGTGACTTATCTACATCAAAAATGAATACTAGTTTTTTGTTTTTTAATTTGGTTTGGTCCGGTGTCGAGAAACTCGAAACTGCCTTAAAAACAATGACAGCGTACTACATGCAGAATTCACTGAGACCGAATCCCTCTAAAACCCAAGTCGGCGCTTTCCACCTTCGCACAAAGGAAGCCAAGCGAAAACTCCAAATTGTGTGGAATGGTAATGCATCAGAACACACAAACCAACCTATATATCTTGGAGTAACTCTGGACCGGTCCCTCACCTACAGACAACATTGCATAAAAACAAGAGGAAGAGTAACAACTAGAAACAGCATACTCAGAAAGCTAACGGGAAGTAAATGGGGCGCACGTCCTGGCGTTTTAAGAACAACGGCACAGGCACTGTGTTTCTCAACTGCTGAATATGCGTGCCCCGTTTGGAGCAGATCTGCCCACACCAAACAAGTTGATACTGCGCTAAATGAGACGTGCAGGATAGTAACGGGGTGCATGAAACCAACGCCACTTTCAAATCTATATAGAGCAGCGGGTTTTGCAGAACCCTCAACACGCAGAGGCGCTGCAGAATACATAGAGAAAATTAAACAGATCGCGGACGATCGGCATGCCCTATACAAAGCTCGAACACCACGAAAGCGACTAAAATCTAGGAAAAGCTTCCTTGGAACAGTGCAGGATGAACCGCCTGAGTATTTTCCACTTCCCCAGGTTCAATGGACCGGCCAGACCCTAGACTTTAAAACGTGGAAAACCTTGAATAGGATAAGAACGGGAGTTGCTACAGTAAAATAAAACATGGCAAAATGGGGGAAAATAGACCAAGATGATGTGAACTGTGACTTTGGAGAAACACAGAGTATGGAACATCTTCTTACATGCAGAAACTGTCCTCATCGATGTACCCTTGAAAATTTGTGGCTCGCCAACAAAGATGGAACCGACGTAGCCCGATACTGGGCCGAATTTTTATGAATGACATGTCCGGAAACGATAAAGTAAAGTAAGTAAGTTTTTTAATTAAGCAAGAAAATGAGTTTTTTAGCGATTGATTGGCAGAAAAGCGGATCGAAGGTTTCGAGATGTGGATCTACAGAAGGATACTAAAAATATCGTATGTGGACCATGTCAGCAACGTTGAGGTCCTACGGCGCATGAGAAAAGGAAAAGAAGTGCTTAATTTAGTGAAACACTTGGGTACCTCGGGCAGGTGATGCGGAACGAAGAAAAATGGGATGACCTCCGCGGAGCTGTTTCACAGAGCAGTCAACACAACCATGATAGCCTTGATGATCGCCAACATCCGGACCGGATAAGGCACTGAAGAAAAAGAAGAAGCGATTGATAACAGCGAATGTGACTTTCGTCAGAGAATAAACGTTGAGTAAGAAATCTGGATTCTCGCACGCCATAGCCAAAAATTGGGCACAATATTTAAACCTGAGACACCTATCTTGCTCCTTTAATTGTTAAACAAACTGCAAATACCCTTACGCCAAAATGTTGTAACAATAGACAATATAACAGTGTTGCTTAGAGCAGGTTTATTAAAGTGTTGGCGACTAACTTTAAACTTTGCTGACTTTGATAACCATTTACATATAAGATAAATAAAAATAATACTTCCCCATGAACACTTTTCGTTCTGCCGCGAGACACATTATTACTTTCAACTGGAGCACAACATTCTGTTATGAAAGTACCTTTAGAAAGAGGCCACTATGTTTTATGTTCTTCTTCTTCTCGTGCCACTCCTAGCGGAGATTGGAATTAGCGGAGATTGGAATTAGCGGAGATTAGCTTCATGGCCACTGCGACTTTGTTAGCAGCGCGCCTAAAAAGTTCAATCGAACTACACCCGAACCATTCACGTAGATTACGAAGCCACGATATTTTTCTTTTTCCTACACTTCTTTTGCCCTTAATTTTGCCCTGCATGATGTTTCTTAAAAGTTCGTACTTTTCACCTCTCACAATGTGCCCAAAGTATTCCATCTTTCTAGTTGTTTTGTTTTATGTTAGGTTAGGTTATTTGTGTCATGTCAATTGTGAGAGTGTCAATAAATAAGTTAGTTGAAATTGGTTGAGTCTTATTTATTATAATTATATAAATATATAACATATTTGGCGACGAGTATAGTCGGATCTACGGGCCGTGGAAGTTATGGATTTAATTGGTAATATTGAGCAGTTTAACCCTAAAAGTTCTGACATAACCTCATATATTGAGCGCATGGAAGAGCTTTTTGAGTGTAACCTCGTGGAAGAAAATAAAAAAATCCACAAGGAAAACAATTCCTGTAGCTGGCTGTATACCACGTATCACAAAAAAAGAGGTTAGTCTTCGTAAGTGGGTATATTTATTTAAAAACCCTTAAAAGGGCTACATAAAAAAAACAAACGTTTTCGGCTAAACAGTCCATCATCAGGTTTCAATGTAGTCAGGTTTCAAAATAAAAAAGTTTCAATGTTCCTCACTTTCATGGGAGGGGAAGCGTATGAGGTATTAAAGGATTTGTTAGGACCAGAGTTACCACGGATGAAAACACATCAGCAATTGAAAGATGTTCTTGTTCTGCACTACAGTCCAAAACGAATAATCATTTCAGAGAGGTATAACTTTTATTTATGCAAACAGGAGCCAAATCAACCATTAAGAGATATGCTCAAAAGTTGAAAAACCTGTCCAAGCACTGTCAATTTGGTAACTTCTTAAATGATGCCTTACGAGATAACTTCGTTGGTGGATTGAAATCAGATACAATAAGAAGAAAATTACTGACTGAAAGTAATTTAACATTCGAAAGAACTCTTCAAGAAGCCCAACGTATGGAGTCGGTAGATCAATCAAGATTTTTGGAGTCAGATACAGTGTTATCAAAGTTGGGTGCAACATTTACCAAAACAATCATCATCTGAACAAGTGCTAGTGAAATCATGTTATCGGTGTAAAAGGAATCATAACCCAGAAAGTTGTCCTGCGAAGAACTAGGAGTGTTACAATTGCCACAAAAGAGGCCACATCAGTCGTGCGTGCAGGAAAAGAAATTCAGTGAACACAGTGTAATACGATCATAGTGAGTGTGAGGAAAATTCCTTAGAGTTAGGTTTTATTGGTAATGTAAAACAAGAGAATGAGAAACCATGTAAAGTCACATTAGATATAGAAGGTAAGCTTTTAAATTTTGAAGTAGATTCTGGAGCATGTAAAAGTGTTATTCATGTTAAAGACTATGAAAAAGAGTTGTCATTCTTAGAAATGTATCCTGTAAAGTATAAGTTGAAAGTTGTTACTGGTCAGAATGTAGAAATTTTGGAAGAAGCGTTACAGGCATTACTCCATCAGAGAACTTATTTAAAGTCAAGCCTAGAACGCGATTTGATTTAATTAAACCTAATAATAAAACTCGTATTGCAGAATCAAGTTCATCTAATGGTATAAAACTATATAACGTTAACGAAGCTGTATATGTAAAGAATAAATTAACCAAGTTATGGTCCAGGGGTAAGATAGTACGAGTTGTAAGTGCGTCAACATATTTTGTACAAATAGGGGAAAATATAAGTTTTGTACATGCTAGTGATATTCGTAAATGTAAATTTGAGGAAGATACCTATACTGAACAAAAACCGATAGTTTCCACTACTGAATTTGTAAATGATTCTGGGCAAGAATCGGTTACAAATGTAAACACTAATAATGTAATGTCGAGACAAATATCAGTAACAAATGAAACAGTAGAGAGTCCTATTAGTAATGATAAGAATGAATTCAATGATTTTAATGAAAATACTGAAAGGATCTTTGATAAAACTGATGTCAGACTTTCTACTACTCCAAAAGTTACTGCTACTCGTTCAGGTAGAGTAATTAAAGCTCCCACCAAATTAAATTTGTAACATTTGTTTATTAATTATTTTCTTTACTTTTTTAAGCGGGGAAGATTGTTATGAAAGTACCTTTAGAAAGAGGCCACTATGTTTTATATTAGGTTAGGTTATCTGTGTCATGTCAATTGTGAGAGTGTCAATAAATAAGTTAGTTGAAATTAGTCGAGTCTTATTTATTATAATTATATAAATATATAACACATTCATTACATGATTAACGCATAATCGTATTTCCTATAAATAACTCTTCGGTTTGACAGAATTGAAAAAATCTGTCTACTGTCTTGTCTCTCTTCTAGAGCTTATATTTTTCAATTTGACGCCTGTCGATTACTTTCTGATTTTTACATTAATATCACCCGCAATACACGGTATTTCCTTTGTTTGTGTTGTATAAAGAAGTTACAATATTTAAATTAAACTGTTAGAATTTTTCAATGTTATAATACCTATTTCTATTATATTATAATTAGGTTATTTTTTGATTTTATTTATTCTAATTCTTGTCATCATGTTGTCTTGTCACTCATTTTCAACGTAATTTTAAACGCTCTAGAAATTACATTATGCACGCACTTTTCTAATATTTTTTAATGTAACGATAGTGGTATATCCCGTATACCTTTACTCACTTAAATAATTATGGTTTTTATATTTACAAAATAAAAACAAAACCATTTTGTGTTACAGTAAATTATTGAAATATTCACATCGTTGTAATAAGAATATCCACTCTACATCATTTCTTGTGTTTCTCTGTTGTTAATAAGATAATAAATATTTTTTCAGATCAAGTCTCCCTTAACACTGACGCACCTGATTGTGATGGATTTAGATGCGCATTGGGTGAATGCATAAACAAATCCAAAACATGCAACGGAATTCCTGATTGTCGAGGAGAAGAGGATGAAGATTCGAGTTTATGTTATGAAAACGAACACCTATGCCATCTATCGGGAGAATGTGGTAAGTCTTCGACTGTATAGATATCTGCCTGTTGTAGTTCCGTATTAGCTGACTTGTCTTTTAAGTTAAAGTAGAAAACTGTAATTAAACTTTATATGAAGAAAACTGTAATTAATGCGTTCTATCTAGTTATACTATTCATGACAGGATTCTGTATTAGTCTAAGATAAACTCAACTTTTTGTGGTTAGATGGACATCTAGATTAGAGAAATTTCGTAATAAATTATCCTAGAAGTTAAAAGTAATCATTGTTATTATACTTCAAAATACTCCTGTAGAGGGCGACTGCATAAACCGTGGCCATCGCGCCTCGGCTTAAAACTTTGTTATGAAATCTAGAGATAGGGGAAGTGGGAAATGAGTAGAAATGAATGAAGCTATTTAACTGATTAAAAAAATTGCGACGCCATTAATTTGCAATCTGTTTCTTTTTTATTGTTTTCACAATAAAATCTTTATTTTCAATATATTATTGTTAAATTTTTAATTTTAAAACATGAAAGTTATGAAATTTTCTATATTAAAAGAACCTATTTATTTTTTGTTTTACACGTAAATAAACTACATAAGTTTGAATTAAAAATTGGTTTGTTGTAACGCAACGAAAAACCATCACCCAACTTTTTATTATACCTACTTTTTCATGTCCAAAGAAATGATCTACGAAACTTTAAAAACAAAATTTCAAAATATATTCAACCAACAATTTCAATTTTTCCAAGACTTTTGTTAAATTGTTTGGACTATGTTCGAAATTATTCCATTTTGAAATATGAAATCAATTTAAGTATCAAACATTGCTTCTTGCCAAATTTTATTCTGGCTCTTCAGGGGACACTTCTTTTATTCAGGGACACGCTAACAAAGCCTGAAAAAGCCAGAAATTACCATTCGAACTAATTTCATCATCTTTCTTGATTTTTATCTATTATCTATCGTAAAATCTCTTCATATTTTAGCATATTTTTAACAATTTATTTTGTAGAATGTGGACGTACAGAGCTAAAATGCAAAAACAAAAAATGTATTCCAAAGAGCAACTTCTGCGACCGAAAAGATGATTGTGGTGACTTCAGCGATGAACCAGACGTTTGCGACTGTCGCTCATATTTGGAACTAACAAGCCCAGAGAAACTTTGCGATGGTGTAGTGCATTGTGAGGACAGGAGTGATGAAGATCCACAAATCTGTCCATGCAAGTCAAATTCATTTCCATGCTTGAGGTACGTTATTAATATAATTATTATAATTGTTTTAACCTTTAACTACGGGCGCCCGTCCATTAGTCATAACTACGTGCGCGGTGTATTCTGTACACCACCGACTAAAAACGCAAATAAAAGCCACAACTAGGTATTTTTAGTATATATATTGTATATAATAAATGTAGGCATATATTTAAGAGAATGTCTTGACATAAAAAATAACACATAACGAAAATATAAAGATTAGCAACAAATATAAGAACAAAAACTCAACTACTTCTTTTTCTCTAAAAATAACCTTCTTGAGATTCTTGTATATTAGCCTAACATTAAAAATATTATAAAACTAGTATATAAATCTAAAAACTAGGAGTAAATAATCATTCACAAATGAACATATTTGAGAATATGTGTGCTATTCACTTTCGTTTTCTTCCTCGTTTGCGTCTACTAAATTACAATTTACACAAATTGTAACAGAGTGCTATTTACAAACCATTCTACTACATTTGTTGCAAGATATTGTTGTAACTCTATTTTTGCTCCTTCCACAACAATGGCACCTCCCCCGTTTTTTTGCTGGTGGTTCTTCATCGTGGTCGTCTTGTACGTTTTTGTATTTCTTCAAGAATATTTTTAGATCCAGAGGTAAACTCTGTATTTCCGCCCTCTCAGAAAGATGAGGTCTTATCAATGCCAATGATAATTCTTTTAGAAAAACTCTTCTATATTTTTGAGGATTGTCGATGTTGGCAGCATTGTACAGGATCTGGCTGTTAATTACGGCAATATTCAGGAGTTGAAAAAACAATGCCATTGGCCATCTTCGTGTTCTTCGGGATACCGAATAGGTACTGCACATTTTGTCTATAGTGTCTACGCCTCCTTTATGTGAATTATAGTCTAAAATTATCATTGGTTTTCCTGTTTCGGGATCCACTGTAGAATTACTGTGCATGGTAGATAGGAGAATGACAGCTTTATTTTTTTTTTTTTTTTTGGTGTGTAGAATAAAATGGTAACTTCTTTTTGAAAACCAAAAGTGGATGATCCAATTGGTGTGTTTTTTATTGGTAAAAACTCTGGAGGTAGTTCCCTTTTATTTCGTTTAAGTGTGCCAACCATCGTTATCTTTTCTTTCAAAAGGTCAATTGCCAACGGATAACTCGTATACCAATTGTCGCATGTTAAATTACGGTTTTTACCTTTCCAAGGTTGAAGCAGGCGATGGGCAATATCCGTTGGTGTGTTAGATTTTTTGTAGGGCCCTTCCGGTTGTTGAACACAATACACCTCAAAATTGGTGACATAAAAGGTCTGCGCGTCACATAACACAAACACTTTTAAGCCATACTTTGCAGGTTTACTTGGAATGTATTGCACAAAGTTGCATCTACTTCTAAAAGGTCCCAACATTTCATCGATAGTCATTTCTTCTCCCAAGGAATAGTTGCTGCTACAGTTTTTCATAAACGTATCAAGAGTAAAGCGAATGGCAGCAAGTTTGTCAATTGATTTTCGGTCCTTTCGAGTATCTTTGTTGTCAAACCTAAGAGCAGCAAGCAAAAATAAAAATCGATCTGCGCTCATACAGGCTCGAAAGATTTCTGAGCCGGTACCATCTTTTGTCCACAATTCGAGGAAGTGTGTATGATTTTGTTTTTTAGTCCCTGCAAGAAATAATAATCCTAATAATGCCATGATTTCCTGTTTAGTCGTATCTTTAGCCCGTCTTGGCCGTTCATAATTTAATCGCATTTTTGCAATATGCAAATTTTTACATTCAACTATATTTTCTATGATTTCATTTGTATAGAGTTTTTCAAAAGCACTTAGTTCCGTAGTAACATCTCTCGCACAAACTGTTGGCCCAGGAAATATCTTGACAATATTTTTTGAAGGAGTTTTAGTAAATTTGCTAAGAAGAGATTTCTTATACCATTTAGTTTTTCTGTCTTTTGCTATAAAATAATCATTGTCTTCATCAAGATCTGAACTGTTTTCAATGTTACTGTTTGTGTCCGAGTCAATCGTATATTGATTTTCGTCATTCAGATCAACTTCTGATTCAGTGTCGTGCTCCGTTTTTTCTATTAGCTCGTCGTCTGAAGTATCTGGGTCTCCACCAACATCTTCATCAGATTCTTCCTCAAATATAGCTTGAGCCATAGCTCTAAGTTCATCTTCTGAGAGTTTTTGGGGATTTCTTACTGGTACACGATCCCTGCAAAGTAAATATTTTGTAGTACCTCTCGATTTATAAACGTTACGAGAAATATATAGAGGCAACGTTTCTAATTTTTATTATTTATTTTTAATTAATATTTCAAACAGACATGACCGTATTGCTATGGAAGAAAGAACATGAAAAAACAAGACCACAAAAACAACTAGAAGGTCGTTAAATAGTTCAATAATAGGTACTCACAAATATCCAAATAGATAACGGTATATTAAGTTATGAGAAAATGCTAAAATAAAATATTTGATCAAATGTATTATCATAAAACTAGTTTTATTATAATAAAATGAAAGTTTTATTAAAATTTTAATAACAAATTACAAATTCTTTTATTCAAAACGTTGCAAAATGTCTAGCTTTTGTTACATATAAGTCGCTATACATTAATAATGCTATTTTTTAGTAGATAAACGTAATATAAATCTCACAAAATTTACTTACATAACTAGGTGCTTGGTGTACTACATACACCACTGGTAAACTTCTCCTGAATTTTTCCAACCGTCAGTCTATCTCTGCAGCAATCAATTTTATAACTGTTGAGGTTTATAGCTGACACATCAGAGATAGGTTAGGTAGAGGGACACGTGCGCAACCAGTGCTTATCAGAAATAGCGGCCAATTTAGTGCGACTGGTGTACTGAGTACACCGTAGCCCGTAGTTAAAGGTTGAACTAATTTTTTTATTGTTAAATAATAAATTACATGTTAAATAATAAATTAATTGTTAAACTAATAAATTACAGTTAGAAGGTCAGAAATTACAGTTAGATCCAGCAAATCACCAAAGTGTTTTTCGCCAGAAACATTTAACTCTATAATTTTTTTTATTTACAGTATGTTAAAGATGTCATTACTGTTCATTGTAGTAGAGAAGTTTAACACTGCTAAACCACAAAAAAATATGAATTAGCTACAAAATGAAGCCTAATCTATAAAGTACCAATAGTTATTATTTTAACTTTGCACACAAAATCTAGTGTACACTAAATTTAATCATTAATCAACATGTCGATGTATACATTTACTACTCAAAAGAATCATTCCTAGTGGAAGCGCTTACGCCGTAGTTTACCAGCTTATTCTCTGGCAGTACAGTTATGGAGTTATCATATTATAGTGTATTTTTATGTATGAGAGAGTAATAAAACAATAAATTATGTATGCAAATCCCTAAACTGTTGATACGGGTGACTCAATGAAAAACAGATATTTGTCAACAAGTTTACAGAAGTATATAGGAAAACAATTTTAAATTGAGTATGACCACCAGGTATAAAGGTTGGAGCAGAATAGAATACAATAGTTGTGAGGATTACTAATCCCTAAATAAGGTTGCCAGTGTCGGAGTGATGGAGGTTAACAGGTACTAATGAATTTGCAAGAAATGTAAGATGTTTATTTTATTGGTTATATATAACCAATAAAAGTTTAATAAGTACCTACCTATTTGCAAAATAAAGTTTATTTCTTTAGATAAAATAAAACGTTTTATTTTATCTGAAATGAGTGCATTCCACGAAGTAAGGGTTTCAACAATCAAACATTTAATTCTTTAATTCCAGGAATCTACTACAGTAATTGACTAGATAATTACCTTCTAAACTTATTCCACAGAAAATGTGATAGTGGGTTTTTCCATTTTGTAGGAAGGTCCAAGTGGCGTATTCAAAATTCTTAACAGTTCACTAAAAGTAGGTACTTCAGTTGCAAGGTGCAGTTTATTGTGTATACTAGTGTTATGGAAAATTTGGAAGTGCCGTGTAAACGCCGAAAAATTGGTCCTTTAACAGTTAATGAAAAAACATTAATATTTAATTGTTTTAAATCATTTACAGACAAACGTTTATGTGAAAGTGTTGATGAGACCGTTGAGTTAGTTAGCAGTACACTTGGTGTTGGGAAATCTACGATTTACAGAGTTATTAAAGAAGAGAAATGTGGTAGTTTTCAAATGCCACGTAATGCTCCAGGGAAACCAAAATTTCAAATAGAATATCATTTTAAAGAAGGACTTCGACGGAAAGTGCATGAATTCTTCTTTAGACAAGAATTTCCAACATTGGATAAAGTTCTTGTCTCAGTTCGAGATGATAAGGATTACCCAGAAATGAGTCGAAGTACGTTATGGAAACTTTTAAAAGAAATAGGCTTCCGCTGGAAAAAGAATCCCAGAAAGTCTATTTTATTAGAAAGAAGCGATATTGTCATATGGAGAAGACATTTTCTAAGAACCATAAAGGAAATATGAAACCAAAAAAGAAAAATATTTTATCTTGATGAAACATGGATCAACGAGGGTCATACACCAAATAAATTTTGGCAGGATGAAACTGTTACAAGTCAAAGGCACGCTTTTGTAAATAACTTATCTATTGGTTTAAACCCACCATCAGAAAAGGGACGCAGGCTGATAATAGTACACATTGGCAGTTCAGACGGTTTTGTTGAAGGTGGTTTATTAACTTTTGAATCAACTCGTACCGGTGACTACCATGAAGACATAAACGCTGATGTCTTTCAAGAATGGTTCGGACAAATGATAGATCTTCTTCCTAAGAACTGTGTAATAGTAATGGATAATGCAAGTTATCACTCCAGACTTATAGAAGGACTGCCCACAACCAAGTGGTTAAAAAAAGACTTGCAGAATTGGCTGAGTTCAAAAAATATTACGTACCATCCCGGATCTATAAGAAAGGAACTTTATTCGTTGTGTGCCCTTCATAAAGAAAAATTTAAAAAATACGAAATTGATGAAATTGCCAAAAATCGTGGAATGACAGTACTTAGATCCCCACCATATCATTGTGAATTAAACCCGATTGAACTGGTATGGGCACAGATAAAGGGTGAAGTTTCAAGAAAAAATACCACAAAATTCATGATGTTAAACAGTTGTTTTTGGAGGCCGTAAATAATGTAAAACCTGAAAACTGGGAAAAGGCAGTAAATCACACTATTAAAGAAGAGGAAAAAATGTGGAAGCTGGACAATATTACTGATAAAATGATCGAGCCAGTTATTATAAATCTTGGTTCTGAAAGTTCATCTTCTGAATCTGATTTTATTCATCTATTTAACATACCTTAGACGGTTTTAAAAATTCTTTTTCTCTTTTGTAAATTTTAAAAATTAAAAAAAATGTTAATTTTTTAAAACCCTTTTTAATGTAGGCCAGTCAGTTCTAATATAGTGTGTGATAAAAGAGGTCACTTTTGTTTACATACACATAACACTTTATAACACTGAAATAATTCATTTATTTTTTACAATTATTCAAAGTAATTTTTCAATTAATCTTGAGCACGCCCATGGAGTGGTCGGAGGTACCAGTTAAAATTATGCTAATTACTCTCTCGTTCATAAAAATAAACTATAGCATGTATTTGGTTTTCACACCGTAGATTAAGAGTAAGGCAAAAACCACAAAGAAGATTGTGTTTGCACCCTGTAATTAAAGATAGATTGGATATGGATTTTTTTGTGACTGTTCTCCAAATTGAGAAAATACACTCCATAAAGTTTTTTAACTATTTCCAAATAAGTCTAACATCTTTTGATGAACTGTGAAGTTTATTTAAATACAGTTAAAGTCAGAAAACTGCAATATCTGGGACATGTTATGGGGGGCGAGCATTGTAACTTTGTTGCAATTAATAAAGCAAGGAAGAAAACAGGGTAGAAGGTGTCGCGGAAGAAGACGCATCTCCTGGTTGAATAATTTGAGAGCTTGGTTTAACTGCACTTTTGCTGATCTCTTTAGAGCAGCGGCGTCGAAAATGCGAATTGCCATGATGGTTGCCAACCTTCTTAGAGAAGATGGCACGTGAAGAAGAAAAGAAGTTAATTTAAAAAAATGCTTATTACTATATGAAAATACAGTAAGGGATGAGATTTCACCCAAAGAAAAACTCGTAACATTAAGGTGTTTATTTATATTGACATTAATATAATCAAATTTCTTTAAATTTACAAGAAATATGTTGAGATACAATGCAATTATTTGCTTAGAAGTAGTAAAGCATTTTCTGTCCACTAGGTGGTAATAATAAATCACAAAGTACGTCAATAAATGAAAAAAATAATAACTGGAATAACTAAAACATTACAAAAACTGTAACTACAACTTAACTTAAGAAGTCCAAAGCAACTTGAACATTTGGTTAAGGAAAAATTCATTGAGTATTTATAATAATTATTTGTTAATATCTGAGAGTTCAAAGAATTTTTGCGAATTAAAGCTTTCTGTTGGCGAAAGGGCTGCTTCTGCCAACACAGATTGTAAAAAAAATAACAACAGGGCAAAGAAGCATTCTGCAAACTCAACGTTTGAAGTATATTCTACGACCGTCACATTGTGACGACGTTGCTTATAAACGCGCGCTTGCATGTGAACGATACCATTTGTTCCTTGGTATTTAAGATAAGCTGTTTGCGACGAGTAACGAAAGAGAAGAACGACGCGTATATGAAAATGATCAACAGAAGGACTAGGAGCAATGTTGAAGAATATCGAGTAAAGAGACGAGAGGAAAAACAAAAACACAAACAGAAAAAGCGGCAACAAATCAATAAAGAGTTCGAAGAAATGGAAAACCTTAATAGAGAAAACGACTACAGAAAATTGTACAAACAGGTTAACACAAAAAGAAAAGTTTTCAAACCACAAGCGAACCAAGTCAAGGCCCTTAACGGAATTCTTTTAAACGAGAGAGTGGAAGTACTAGAAAGATGGCAGGAACATTTTAGTACGCTACTTAATGGAGAAAGTAGAGCTGAAGGTAGATATGATATAGAAATAGAACACGAGGATACTGAACTACCAACTTTGGAAGAAATAAACAAAGCAATTCAGTCTCTAGCAAGAAACAAGTCACCCGGAGCAGACAACCTACCAGCAGAAATATTTAAATGTGGCAGTCAAACATTTGTAACCCTCCTTCACAAACTACTAATACAGGTATGGCAAGAACGCGCGTTACCAGAAGATTTGAATACTGGAATTATATGCCCCATACACAAAAAAGGAAACGTTATTGAATGCTCCAACTTTAGAGGGATTTCCCTTCTTAATACAGCATACAAAATTGTGTCCCTGATACTTAACGAACGACTGGCACGGTATACTGACAATATAATAGGATCCTATCAAAGAGGCTTCTTGAAAAACAAATCTACCATTGATCACATATCATCTATCAGACAAATATTAGAAAAAACGACGGAGTACGACATAGACTGCCATTACATCTTCGTAGACTTTAAGGCAGCGTACGATACTATTGACAGGTCCCAATTATATTCGGCGATGATCGAATTAGGAATACCAAAAGGTTTGGTAGAATTAATTAAAATGACAATGATAAAAGTCGAATGTAAAGTGCGCGTACAAGAGGATGTTTCAAAACCATTTAAAACCAACAGAGGACTACGCCAGGGAGATGCGCTATCGTGCGCGCTGTTCAACCTAGCGTTAGAAAAAGTTATCAGAGATTCGGGAATAAACTTAAAAGGTACGATATATACCCGTAGTATACAAATAATGGCATACGCTGATGATATCGTCATAATTGGTAGAACCCAAAATGAAGCAGTGGAGGCTTTCACACGTATCAAAAATGCCGCAGAAAACATCGGACTTCTGATTAACATCCAGAAAACTAAATATATGCCGGCCATATCAAGAATTCAACAAAATAACTTAGAGGTGCAACACGAAACGATAGAAATGGTAGAAGAATTCTGCTACTTAGGATCACTGGTAGACTACAAAAATAACACATCCAACGAGATAAAAAAAGAATATGCGTGGCTAACCGCTGTTATTTCGGCATGGGCTCTCAACTAAGAGCGAGAAGTATATCAATAGCAACAAAGTGCAAACTTTATAAAACAATAATACGCCCAGTGCTCACATACGAATCGGAAACATGGACAATGACGACCCGAGATGAAGAGTTACTACGAGTCTTTGAAAGAAAAGTATTGAGGACCATATTTGGCGGAGTGAACGAACAGGGTCTGTGGAGAAGGCGATATAACTTTGAACTCTATAGACTTTTTGGTGATGCAGATATTGTGAAGACCATCAAGATAAACCGCCTAAGGTAGGTGGGCCACGTTATGCGGATGGATGAGAGTGATCCCAGTAAAATAACTATGCTAAATAGGCCGGTCGGAAGAAGAAGAAGGGGGCGACCTAAACTCAGATATCTGGACGATGTACAGGAAGATCTGAGGGAGATTGGAGTGAGGGGCTGGAGAAGACAGACACTCGATAGGGAAGGATGGAAGAACGTTTTGAAGCAGGCCAAGGCTCACGAAGGGCTGTAGCGCCAACTGATGATGTTTGCGACGCAGTATTCGAAGAAATATATACCTAATCTTATCTGATGTGCAAAATTGGGAAAGGCGCAAGACAGTGCTGCATATTATCAGCAAGGTTATATAAGCTATATAGTGAACACGTAATCAGACTTGTTCTAGATGGTTGGGAAGGTGACATTTCAGTAAGCGGAGGCAAAGTTTCCTATAACGTATAATTTGGACCACAATTTCATTAAAATATTTTGACGAAAAGGCGCTAATCCTTTTGATGGGAATCTAATTGAATCTGATTTATCTCAGTTCATTCTGTTCTAGCATTATAAATACACAAGTTTATTTTTTTGCAGTGTGAACATGTGCGTACCGAATGATATGGTTTGTGATGAAGTAGAAGATTGTCCCAACGGAGAAGATGAAAAAGTTTGTCGAAACATTGTTACCGAGCACAATGAGCCGTAAGATTTTTATTAACTAATTTTGAAAACTCTGAGTCTAGAAAACACTCTAACTTTTTCGGGTGTTCCATATCGATCTAGAAAAAAATAAATCTTTTGTCTTACTTATACTACAGCTATTTAAACCTTTCATTTATATATATTTTTAGATCAAATGCAGGGGAGCTGGTTAGCAGTACAGGAGGATTATGGCATCCTGGTTGTTTCAAGCAAAACTACACTAAAGAAGAACTGGTAAAGATCTGTGACGAATTGGCATATTTAGGAGGTACAGCAAATCAACTGAATCCTCCGAAAAGTGTACATAATATAACAGCTCTGCGCCCCGTTATAGACAGTTTTGATATGGTTTGGATTCGGAGAGAAAAGAATAACAGACTTATGCTTGGCGTGAGAACTGGCAACGAACCATATGTCAGTTTTGTACCTGATAACGAGTGTTTCAGATTGTTTTTGGCATGTTTATGACAAGTTGTTAATAAAAGATTACAGTAACTACTTTTATTTTATTGGGCATACTAGTTTTGTTTTGTTTTTTGTTTCCCTACATTATAGCTAGTATTATAGCGATTTTATAGAATTTTCTTTTAGTTTTATTGGAATATTTCGATTGCACAACACACCACTTGCTTTAGGTACTCAAAACTATTACTTTTTACAATTCTTTTATAATCTACAATCATTTTAATTATATTATTAAGTCGATATTATTTTATCAACAATATCCGATATACCGATAACATGGTACTAATCGTTGACAACGAGCAAGATCTACAAGGAATTGCAGTTGCAGATTCGCAACAGTTGCAAGTATTAAAAGTAAACTTGGGTCAAAATGTGCCAAAATTTATCAGAGATCATTTCTCTGTTTACTGCTATAAAAGCTTGTTGACATTTTCTGTCCCATTTGAAAGATACTCCATTTTTTAGAAGATTATAAATTGGATGTAAAGTATGGCTCACATTTTGTAAGAACCGTCCGTAATAATTTATGAGTCCTACTAATTCTCTAACTTCTGTCTTGTTTGTAGGTGTTTTTGCTTTCTGTATAGCTTCCATCTTTTCTTTGGTTTTATGTTTTATGTATCCATTTTTGTCAATTTTATATACACAGTATTAAATCTGATTTGCTAAAAAATTGACATTTGTCATGATTGACTCTAATATTGTATTTTGCAAGTCTGCTAAGAACTAATTCCAGTCTTTGATAATGTAACTTATCTTCGGGTGCTGTAATTTTTATGTCATCCAAGAAAACTGTCACTTCTGGGATATTTTTTAAAATGTTTTCAATTTCCCTCTGCCATATTGCAGGTGCACTGGAAATCCCATACATTAATCTTGTACTTCTATACAATCCTCTAGGTGTACTGTATTACGATATGTACTGTAAGTGTTAAGTATTTCCTATCTTCTGAGCGTACTTATATTTGTAAGTAGGCTTGTTGTAAGTCAAGCTTTGTAAACTTATCTCCACCAGCCATGGTAGAAACTAGAGCTTCAATTGTAGGCAATGGGTATTCGTCTACCACTAAATGCTTGTTAAGTGTACTTTCAAAATATCAACAAATTTGTACTTGACCATTAATTTTAATAACTGGTACTATAGGTGTACCATATTCAGAACTATTAACTTTTTCTAAAATACCTTCCTTTTCTAGCTTCGTAACTTCTTGTTTCACTTTTGGTAATAACGTATATGGTATTTTCCTAGCTTTTATAAAGAAAGATGAAGTGTTTGGTTTAACTTGTAGCTTGTAAACCTTGCATTTTACCATACTTTTATGGAAAGCTAATGAATATAAGTAAATTTGCAAGTTTGTTATTTGTAACTTCAGTTACTTCTGAAATGTTATCGAACATTATATCTAACTGGCGTATCCATTCACGACCCATTAATGGTGATGTACCTGAGTTGTGTAATTTGGTAGGTCATCATTGTATTTACCTCTTCATCGTATGATTTCCCGTCTGGTTTTTCCAGCGAAATCTTATCACAAAAAATATCTATCATATGCATCTGGACCCATGTAGCTTAGAAGGTATGCGGCTTTTTTGTCTTCTGATACTGCAGACATTAAATGTACTCTAACGACGTTGTAACCACCGGTCAAAATTCTTGGATGTATCGTAAGTTTCAATGGTAAATACGGTGAACTGAATCGATTGTAGTCTCAGTCATCTTTTAAATGTATATGTAATTGTAAATTAGACAGGATTTTAATTATGTATGTAGATTATTTGTAAATTTGTACTTTGAGTCACCACGATGCTGTTAGATTATATATGTAAACTGGCCTTAATATTTGCATTTCCTTGTAGATTCCTCGTTGCCAAGCTTTTGTATATATACGTATAATGTAATGAAAATGGTGTTGAATGTATTTTATGTTCCTTTATTTCACTAATTAAAACGTGTGTGGTAACCTACATAACGCAACTCCGTAAATAATGAAGTGAGTAATGTCCCATGACATCTATCAACGTCCAAGTGTCGTGTCATAGAACTACTAAAATGTCAAGTATATAACACAGGCATCTTATAAAATATGTAGAAAGATTCATATACCTTGGCTGTCTAGTTAGTAATACACTTGATCCAGATCAAGAGATAAAATAGGATAGAAATCAAAAAAACGCTTTTGTAAGAATGCGATCGTTCTTTATAAATGATTTTAAACTTACACTGCGAAACTTTATGGAGAAATTTGATATACCTATATATTAGCATCCTACTAATAGGGACCTATATCATAGTATTGACACAAAGTGTTCCTTATGATGTGACTATATCTGATCTGCTTGTTGATCTACCTTTCATAAATCCAGACTCATTTTCGGATATTTCATTTTTCTTAGTATCTGTATGGCCCTGTAGTTTACGGATTGTTATATATCTCCCTTGTTTTTGCAACCAGGTACCAATATACTGCTTTTCTATTCGATTGGCATTTGTCCCTCGTTCAAATACAATTTAATAAACCTGTCAGCCAACTTGTTCCTATCTCTCCTAAATTATTACTTAAAATTTTTTAATAATCACGTATCTATCTCTTTTCCGTATTGTATATCATTTTTATCTATATTTAGACTTGTTCTATATTATTCACATTTCTATGACGAGTGATTTTCTCTCCTAACCTATATTTTATTAATTTTTAGACTGTAATTGACTATTTTAATACAGCATACAGCACTCGTTAAACCCAAAAGTTTCCATAAGTGGAAGAGCATTTTTAAAAGGACGTGACAGTTGCCTACCCATATGTTGCCCAAAATGTAGCACATCCAACTTATGCAACACAATCTACCGCGACTTACTCCAAATAGGGTAATCTTTTTAAACGGTTTCCACGGGTCGTTGAACGCCCAGACCCAATAAAAATCTATTCTCGTAAATGCCGGCTAAATATGAATGTAAATAACCTGCATTCAAAGTTGCTAATTAATATTCTTTGGTACCGACCCGTCTTACGGTAGTACCAAACAAAGATGACGCTTTGGGACGCACCTGGAATACTTGTATGTATGCTTTTGTTGTATTTGTTGACCTGCGAAGATTTTATTAGGGACCCACTGACTTTTAACAGATTGTTTGAATTCCTATAGTCGGTCTCACCTTCGATAGGTGTTAAGATTCGTGGAAGCAGGTACCTGTATTATTTAAATCATAAATTTATGGGGCCTCAGATTTCAGATTAGGGATTAGGCAAAATATTGAAAAATTTCCTTTTTCTAAAATATACAAATAATAAGTATTACGATAAAATTTGTATAAATACTTTTATGAAAATACACACGACGGAAAAGTACTTGAATCAAAAGTACAGGATGTATCAAAAGATATAGATAATATAAGAAAGAGCACTAATGAAAGAGGGTAGAAAAAAACGCACGTTAATATACAACAACCCCTAACACAAGTGACAACAAATACACCAAAAAAATTCAAAAATATAAGTAACTGGGTTATTGGATATGTTATAGTAGAACCCTAATGCAAACTTGCATAAGATGAAAACCTCCAAAATTCGAAAAAATGTTGTGTTCCCTTACCTTTAGGCCCCAAAGCCTCATTATTCGAAATATCAACTCTCTATTAGTCGAAATAATTAATGAGTCCCTGCAAGCCATTTTGGTACTCTCTTTGTCAACCATTTTCCATCCACTCTTGAATGTAGGTCTCTCCCAATTGCTTTCATCTTTCTCTATCTTTCGTCAATCTAATCCACTGTTTGCCTGCCACTGCTCTTATGTCATCTACCCATCTTTTTTGAGGTCTTCCCATGCTTCTTGTTGTCGTCCTTGGTCTCCATTCTAGAATTCTCTGTGTCCACCTGTTGTGATTATATCGGGCTACGTGACCTGCCCAGCGCCATTTAATTTTTGTATTTTTGTAATTTCTTCCACAATATCCCTGATCTTCGTTCTACGTCTTATCTCGGTGTTTCTAATCTTCTCTCTCAGTGATATTCCAAGCATGATTCGTTCCATTGCTCTTTGCGTCGTTTCTAATTTTTTAGCAGATTTTTTGGTAAGGGCTACTGTCTCCAAGCCTTAAATACAAACTGGTAGTATGGATATGTTATACACCTTTTTCTTTGGGCTTACAGGAATTGAGGTGTTTTTCAAGATATATGCTAGTTTGCCGAAAGAGCCCCATGCCAGTTGTGTTCTTTTAATTTCAGCATTTTGATTTGGTTTTTAGTTTGATGACATGACCTAGATATACATAATGTTCAACATTTTCTATGGTATGACTTTGTATTGTTATATTTGTCTGGTCTCGGCTCAGTATTTTTGTTTTACTGTAGTTCATTTTTAATCCCACCGCTCCCGAAACTGGATTTAATTGTTGTAACATATCATTTAGTTTTTGGATATTATCAGCTATTAAAACTATGTTATCTGCGAATCTCAAGTGGTTTAAGTATGATTCGTCGACGCTGATACCCTTGTTGTTCCATTCTAGTTTCTTAAAAACGTCTTCTAGAGCAAGGGTAAATAGTTTGGAAGAGATGGTGTCTCCTTATCTTACTCTCCATTGTAATCTTATGGGATTAGTTTTCATGCTTTCGTCCAGCTTTATCTGCATGGTGGCATTTTCATATATGTTTTTACTTATGTTAGTTTATCTTGAATCCATACATGCATTTTCTAGAGGTTCAAACACTGCCCACAATTCGATGGAATCGGATGCTTTATGGAAATCGACAACCATATGAATTGGAACATGATACCCGGTGCATTTTTCTATTAGTGTTCTTGTGTGCAAGTGGTCTATGGCACTAAAATGTTTTCTGAATCCAGCCTGATCGATAGGTTGATAGAAATCGAGCTTATGTGCTAGGCGGTTGGTTATGATTTTAGTTAGTAATTTATACAGATGTGATAGCAAGGATATTGGTCGGTAATTCCCGATGTTTGCTTTGTCTCCTTTCTTGAATAGTAGAATGACTTCTGAGTTG